AAATTCTTTTTGGTATGGGGTACAGAAAAAAAATAAAACTTTTAAAACTAATGAACAGGACTAGTTAAAGTGAAGGAGAGGAAGGGGAAATCTACTTGACTGAGAGGAAAAAAAGGTGAAAGAATTGTATAACCAGATGCAAAACCCCAAAGGAAAAGAGGTAACAAATGAGAGGAGGGAATGAAGGGTAAAGGAAAGAGAGTCAGAAGGAACAGGGCCACCTTTAAAAAAAAAAAAAAAGACTAAGTTAAAGTAAATAAAGAATCTCAGTATTGTGTTAACAGCAGAGGTGAAATGGGGGAACCATAACTTTGGGGGAGACGACACTGGAGACAAAGGAAAATAGAAACCTAACTAATAACTTTAAATGTGAGTGGATTAAACAATCTTATAAAACAAAAAAGTGACAGATTGAATAAGAAAACAAAACTCTACAGTCTGTTGCTTATAAGAAACACATTTTGAAAAAAACATACACAAAATAAAACTCAGGGGATAGAAAAAACTTTTTACTATGCATCAAGTGTATCCAAAAAAGCAGGAGTTGTAATCATGCTATCTGACAAAGCAAAAGCAAACATTCAAAAGAGAAAAAGAGAAAACGCAGAAACTATATAATGCTGAAAGGAACTGTACACAATAAACAAATTTCAGTAATAAACTTACACACTCCAAATGCCTTAGCATCCAAATTCACAAAGCAAAATTAATTGAGTCACAAGAACACATAGATAGCAACACAGTAATGACAGGGAATTTTCAATATCACTATCTCAGTTTTGGTTAAGTTTAACAAAAAGCTTGACAAAAGGGAAAATATGGAACTGAACAAATTCCTGGTGAAACTAGAGTTTTAAAACGTTCATCTTCTAAATGGAACAGCAAAACAACGTTCATGTTTCTCACCACCACATCAAACTTTTACAAAAATTCACAATGTACAAGGGTATAGAGACATTGAAAACAATTGCAAAAAGGCAGAAATACTGAATAATTTTTTTACAAAATATAACAACTAAAATAGCAATTTGTTCTGAGATCACATACAAAAGACAAACACAAATGGCAACTGAACAATGAAATGCTAAGTAATGAGTGGGCCATAAAACAAATCATAGGAATAGTTGATTACTATGTAAAAAAAAAAAAATGATAATGATGAAATAACATATCAAAATTTCTGGAAAGCAGCTTAAAAACTCCTTGGAGTAGGGGAAAACATATACTTATAAACATACATCAACAAAAGAGTGGATTAATGAACTGGATAAGCATTTTTAAAAATTGAAAAGCCAACAAACAAACCTAAAATAAGTAGACATTAAATAGGATATATTAAATAGGACATATTAAAAATTAGAGGGGAAATATATCAATTTGAAACAAAAAAGAAGTGGTCAGTTTTGATCAAAATTTATAAATTTTTGGCTAATCTGATTAAAAAGAAGAAAGCAGAAGATCAAATCATTAAATAAAAAATGAGCAAAGTAAAATCACAGCAAAACTAGAAGGAATAAAAAAAATTAAAATAAATGATACACAGTTATATGCAAACAAAACTGAGAACCAAAAATATAAAATATTAAAAAAAGTCTGTCAGAAGACCAGAGAGTGATTTTAAATAATCCAGTCTCATTAAAAGGAAGTAGATTTAGCTGTAAATGAACCACCAAAGAAAATAACTCCTGGTCCTAATGGAGAGAGAATTCTATCAAATTTTTAAAGAAAAGTTAGTAAAGTACAGTTAACACTTTATTCTCAAAATTTAAGAAAGAAAGCACTCTACCAGAATTCTTTTATGAGACAAGTATAGTTCTAACACCTAAACCAAGTAAAGACAACACACAGAAAGAAAACTATAGGTCAATATCATTAATAAACATTGATTCACAATTTTAAACAAAATCCTATCAAACAAACTATAGTGATTTATCTACAAGTCATTCATTATGACCAAGTAGGATTTATATCAGGAATGCAATGATGACTCAACATTAAGAAAATAATCAACATAATCACATTAAAGACAAAAAGAAACAAAACCACAAGATCATCTCAATACAAGAAGAAAAAGCCTTTGACAGCATAGAACATTCATTTACCCCTAGGCATAAAGGGCCCTTTATTTAATATCATAAAAAGCATCTATCTAAAACCAAAAGCAAGCATCATATGCAATGGGGATACACTGAAATCTTTTCCAATAAACACAAGAATGAAGCAAGAAGGTCCACTCTCCCCACTATTATCTGATATAGTTGTGGAATGCTAGCAACAGCAATAAGACAAGAGAAAGAAATTAAATATAGGTAAAGAGGAGATTAAAACTATTCCTATTTGCTGATGTTATGATGATGTATAGGGAATCAGCAAAGCTACTTATTGAGACAATGAACAGCTTCAACAAAATTGCAGGGTGCAAATAAATCTTCAAAAATCAACAGCATTTCTATATAATAATAAAACACAAGAAGCAATAATAGAAAGGGAAATCTTAATCCAAATAACTACAAAATGTATAAAATATCTGGGGATTGACCTACCAAAGCACACAAAAGACTTGTAACAGAATTTAGCAAGGATCAGGTGAATCTATAAAAGTAGGATTTGTAATCATGTTATCAGACAAAGCAAAAATAAAAATTTCACAACATAGAGATAAAAAAGGAAACTATTACAGTAGAAGGAATCACAGGCAACAAACTTGTATTAATATTAGGCTTATATGTGTCCACTGCCTTAGCATCTAAATTCATAAAGAAAAAAAATCTTAATTACAAGAAGACATCAATAATAATAAGAGAAATGAGATTACAATAACTTTAAGGTTTTACCTCACATGTAGCAAATTACAAAAGATGACAAAAGATGGGAATAGTCAGATGGGAGGGTATGGAAACAGGCATATTAGTGCATTGTTGGTAGAGTTGTGAATCCATATAACTAGTCTGTAAAGCAATTTGAAATTATGCAAATAAAATGACGAAATGTCCACATACTTTGACGCAGAGATTTCACTACAAGGCATGTACCCCAAGAAGGTCACTGATAAAAAAACAGCCTCAAACGTTTATAAACAAAGCACCAAAATATTCATGCTAGTACTTTAAAAAATTATTTTTATTTTCCTTTTTTGTCAGTCAATCTGATAAGTGTGAGGTGCTTCCTCAGAATTGTTTAAATTTGCATTTCTCTTACTAGCTGTGTGACCCTGGGCAAGTCACTTAACCCTATTGCCTAGCCAAAAAACAAAAACAGAAACAATTTGCATTTCTCTTAATTAGTAGTGCTTTAGAGCATTTTTTCACATGACTACTGACAGCTTTGATTTCTTCCTCTGAAAACTGCCTGTTCACATCCCTTAACCATTTATCAATTGAGGAATAGCTTTTATTTTTATAAATTTGGCTCAGTTCTCTACATATTTGAGAAATGACATTTTTATCAGAGAAATTTGGTATAAATTTTTCCCCAATTTCCTATTTTTCTTCTAATTTTGGCTATCGTAGCACTTTTTGTAGAAGCAAAGAACTGGAAACAAAGTAGATAGCCATCAATTGAGGAATGGCTAAACAAATTATGGTATACCAATATAATAAAATATTACTGTGCCGTAGGAAATGACAAACATAATGAACGTACAGAAGTATGTAAAGACTCATGTAAACTATGCAAAGTGAAGTAAGAAAAGCCAAGAAAATAGACACAATTATTGTAATAACTTTTTCTAAAGGGACACATATTCATAAGAGAGTTTAAACAGAAAAAAAGATCTGAGAGCTTCAAGAAATATATATTCCTACTTCGGTGCCATAAGAAGATGACTAATACATAAGAAGTTCAAATAATTGTATTTGACAAAGATATTGGAGTGGTTTCTCATTTCCTTCTCCAGCTTATTTTACAGATGAGGAAACTGAGGCAGACAAGGTTAAGTGACTTGCCCGGGGTCACACAGGTAGTGTCTGAGGCTGGATTTGAACTCAGGAAAATAAGTCTTCCTGACTCCAGATCCAGCAGCTCTATCCAGTGTGTGCCTGAAAGTAAAATAGCTGTCCAATAGTCCCACAAATCTCCTGGGAATCTTTCCTATAACTCAGGAGAACATATTAGGAGTAAAAGGTTACTATTTTAGGTTTTAAATATTTGTTAATGGGCACTTATATGAATCTTTGGTGTCCTAAGCATTTCCTTTGTGGTAAACAGAACTTACTGTCTTTCTCTTAAGTTACTACTCCCTTCTTGCCAACTCCCTGTTGCAAATGAAGGTACTTTCAATCTCCCGGTCACTCAGACTTGCAGTCTTGGTATCCTTCTCAACTCTCTGCTTTACATATATCCATTCTGTTACTGCATCTTGACATTTCTGCCCTCACAGCATCTCCCACATGCACCCCCTTCATTCTACTCACCCAGCCCCTCTTCACCTCCCACCTGGACTATTGCAATCCCTTCCCAATCCGCGCGTCGGTCTCACATCTCTCTCCACTCCAATCTACCCTCCAGACAGATGCCAAAGGGATTGTTCTAAAGCATAGCTCTGACCATGTCACTCAGTAAACTCCGGTGGCTCCCGAATACCTCCAAGATCAAACATAAAGTCCTCTGGCATTTGAAGCTCTTCCTATCTTTCCAGTTTTCCAACATTTTATTCCCCTCTGGATCGTATTCTGCAATCCAACTACACTGGTCTCCTTGCAGTTCTTGAAAACTTATGCACTGACTGTCTCCCACGCCTGAAATGAACTCCCTCCTCACCTCTGCCTTTTAATTTCCCCGGCTTCTAAAGAACACGCACATAGCAAGCACCTATCTAATGTCAGCCGAACTCAACCAAATGCTTAAATCAAAGACCGTTCTGACCTCTACTTCAGCTGTAAGATGACCCCGCCCTCAACCTCCCCACGTGGCAAAAGTGGGCGGGGAACGTAGAGGAAGCGTGCTCCAGAGAGCCTAAGGGGCCGATTGGTGCCTATGCCAAGAAGAATCCAAGATGGCAGCGGGGGAAGTCGTTACTACTGGTTAGCACTTTATCCATCATGAAGAGAAAAGGAAAATGTCACCCTAGCTTAATGAACTTGGGCTAATATTAAAGTATTTTTAATGGAAGTCTTGAAATTTAGGGGCAGAAGCAACAAGAGGATCGGCATATGGAATGAAGACCTCCCCCTGCTGCGCGGGGCGTGATTAAACGCCTCTTCCGGCCCCTTGCCCCGGGCTAGAAGCAGTAGAGAGCGCTCCGCGAAGAGAGGCTTCTCGGAGGGAGCGCGAGGCATTCTGGGAACGGAGGTCCTCCGCCACCATCTTGCTTTCTCTGATCCCTGTCAGTACGGGGTCACGAGTGAATCGGAGCCATGAAGCTGCTCACGGGCGCCGGATCCCTCTCGGTGAGTGCAGCCGCCTTGGCGGAGGGCGTGATGGGCTTCCAGGGGAGGGGGCCTGGTGGGGTCGCCTGGCCGAGGGCCCCTCGCGCCGCTTCCCAGTTCTCCGCTTGTCCTTCAGCTGAACTCTGCGGAAGGAGCAGGGGGCCGGGGCCGGGGAGGCTGGGGGGAGTACGGCGATGCCCCCGGGGGGCCGAGCAGAGCCCCGGGCCTCTCCTTCCTGAAGGGCCGAGGGGAGGCTAATGAAGGTCACGTCTGTGATCCCTGGCTGTGACCCCGCGCGGGGGGCGGACCCCCACCCTCCGCTTGAACCCCTGACGGTGAAAGCCGGGACGTTGATTAAATACGCTCTTCGAGGATGGAGGGTGAGCCATGGAAAAAAACTTGCCCTTCCCGCTCCGGGGGCCGCAGCTCGGCCTTCGGTGACCCCACCCCCAGCCCACCCTTCAGCTCCCATGTGGGGACCAGGTAAACAGCTCGTCTAGCCTCCAGTTCCACAAGTAGAGGATATAGACTTGAGTTTTTGACTCACTGGATCCAGGGCCTCAGATTTTCGTGGCGATTGTTAAATGGCATAATAATGTGAGATCAGTTTTTCTTAAGGTCCAGATTTTATTTAGAGACGGTAATAATAGATCAGGACGTGTAGTGTCTCTGGCAGTTAAGTGCTTTGTAAACCACAAAGCACTATAAAAAAATGTGAGTTGTTATTTCATTCCATAGAAGTTTATTTTTATAGCCAACCCCAGTGATCAGAGGAATAAAGTGGCTTCCATTTGAGGAGAAAGTAGAACTTTTGGTCCAAGGATTGATTATAATTATGAATAGGTATGAAATGGAGGGTGTGTTGAGGCGATAGGGGAAGGGGCGCAGGGGTTAAAAGGTAGCTACTGCAAAGTATGACCACTGGAAAGCCTTGCATCATCAGCATACCTTTAAGGCCCCTTCTAAGATAGGATTCCCTAGTTGCCCGGAAAACCATTTAAAAGCTGCTGCTAAAAATATTAGATAAAAGTTCCTTGTTGACCTCAACTTCAAAGGCTCTATTAATTCCTCTCTCTGAATGCAAATTTCTTTTGCTCCATGCATATCACCTTCCCACTCCTTCAAATCTATTAATGTCCCCTCAGCCTTGAATGTTGGCGCTCTTCTATGTTTTCCCAGTCCATCATCCCTCTTTTGACATCCTTTGCCTCTTCTACCCAACCTGGACCCCTAGTTAACTTACTTTAATGATATTTTCACTAAGAACCTAGCATCCCTGGAACCCTTGACTGTACTTTCCTTCTCTATCTGAACGGAATTTCTATCATATCCTTTCCCAGAAGGAATTGTTGAGGATTGCTGGTGGTAAAAGTAATAAAACCATACAGATTGTTTCTACTACAAATCAGTGCTATTTAATTGACTTGTCAGAGTAGAAAGAGCACTGGACTGGCAGTCAGAATACCTGATTTCCTATTCAGGTTCTACCATTAACTGGTTTAGGCCTGAGCCTTGGTTTGGCCATCTGTAAAATGAGAGGACTGGACAAGATAATCTTTAAGGTTCTTTCCATGTAAAATATTTAATAGGAATTTATCTTACATTTGTGGATATACAAGGATATTAGGTGATAATCCTTTTACTCACCTTTTATTCTCTAATGCAGAGGTATCAAACTGTGGCCAACCAAATGAAAAATGTAATTGGGAAATGTTTAGCAAAAATAAAAATGCAATATTGTGTAGGTAATGTTAATTTGTGGTTTTCTAAGTCAGTATACTGACCATATGGATCCTTTTCTGTTTTGAGTTTTACACCACTGCTGTAATGTATTCTCCAGATGAGTGCAATGTAAAAAAAAAAAACCTTTTCCCATTTTCCTTAAGTTCACTTCACTTTCATGTGATGACCTTTTTTTGGTAGCTGGACATAGTCACATTTTAGAACCAAAGAGATCTTAGACATCATCTATGTCTGTGCTGTCATATTCTAAATAAGGAAATAGAGATTGAGAGAGGTTGAAGAGACTTGTCCAAAGTCAAAGAGGAAATTAGTGACTGAACCAGTCTGACTCAAGCCAATAATAACACCTTCCTCTTGGGGTTAGCATGAGGATCAAATGAGATTGATGTGTATAAAATGCTTTCTAAACCTTAAAGCACTAGAAAGAACTAGTACTATTATTCCTACTATATTGTGGTGCTTCATCTTGAGTTATGAAATACTATTTATATCTTTAGTTCTTAGAATATATATTGACTAATGTGAATGAATGAAAGAGGCATCTTATTTAGTTGTACCAAGCACTGTTCTAAGCACTAGGGATATAAATACAAAAGTAAGACAGTCCCTGCTCTCAGTCAGCTCACGTTTGTATGGGGAAAACTGCATTTCAGCTACAAGTCTTGAATGGCAAGGTGTCATTGTCCTTGTTGCAAAGCAAATGGTTAATTCCTCTCCTCCAAGGTGGTTTTCACTGATAAAATCCTATCAATTTCTGATATTGAACTGTTTGATGATGCCAAAGACTTTGGTGGCGAGAACTTTCTTTTCTGGGTCTTCAGTATCTGTGGCTGTAGCACCTACAGGTGAAGTTGCCAGAATTCATCTCCTAAGGAGTTACTTCCCAGGATGGTGGTGGTGGATACTGGGCTGGAAGCACTATTATTTCCAAGAGTCTTGGGCTATCTCTATCAAGGCACTAGAGAAAAGGGTGATGGTGGTGGTGGTGGTAGTTTGACTTACTTGATAATGACTTTAAGGACATGCCCTGAGTTTTCTAGCTTTGTGATTTAGTGTTGAGTTGGTTTGCTTGGCTAAGCCATAGAGTGATTTTTGTGGTCTGACACCCATATGAGTTCCCACGTGTAACCATTTGTAATTTTGGTTTAATATCTTTATAAATCATAGTACCCTTGGATACAACCTAGGTCTTATGATTTTGTAGAAAGCACTATTCATGTCAGGAATATTTTTCATTGTTTGTGTTTAGAGACGATTTTATTCCCTCAAAGTTGCCCCAAGAATTAAAGCCTCTGCTGCAAAAGCTCCTGTACAACTTCATCCTGAGGAACTTGAGGTGAGTCTAACCAAATCTCTCAGATGTTGGTTAAAAAAAAATTCTTTCATTATTTAGTTATAAGAAGACATAAATAACATCTCTGCTTTGTTTTGACTATAGCTAACAAAGTTACCAAATGGCTTAGTGATTGCCTCTGTGGAAAACTATGCTCCAGCTTCAAGAATTGGTTTGTTCATTAAAGCTGGTAGTAGATATGAAGATTCTACTAATTTTGGAGCCTCCCATCTACTCCGTCTTGCATCCAATTTGGTAAAGATCTTTCCTTAATACGTTTGACTTTTTTTTCAGTCATATTTATTAAATCACGTGAATATTTGCAAACAGATGCATATCTTCTAGTTCTGTTTTCTTGGCATAATTTATTTTATTTTTATAGCATACTAATGTAACTATTCGTGGATAAAAATAAACTTTAAATTTGAAATAGTGGTAGCAGCTATTAAAAGCACAATATATTTTTATATTAAAATTGGTAAGATGCATTAAGATTTTAAGTATAGTTGAATTTTTACACTTAAAAACAAAAAATTAAACAGCAAATTTTAAACTGAAGCAAACCATTTAAGCATATTGACGCATTTTCAAAAAATCTAGTCCTGAAAGAGACAATATATCTAACCTTAAAAAAAAAATTCTCAATTAATTTTCTGTATGGTATAGGAAATTTGATGATCTTTTATTAAGCGTTAAGATAAAATATGTCCTTGATGAAAACAATACTAGATACAGTCTGATGTCTGAATGTGACAAAACCAGAGAAATACATGAAAATGCTTCTTGAAATACCATATTTCACTTCATAATTTTTGCACCCTGTTTCTTCAGTCCAACAATTGGTTTATAAGCTTTCATCATGGTAATTGTCGCATGTTATAATTTTGTTCCTCACTCCACTTAAAAGGTAAACAGAGCAGCAGTGTATTCACCAGTGGCATATGGTTGTGCATTTATCTCTCATGCATTGTGAGCCTAGCATTGTCAGTATATTTCCAAAAGCCAACTTATGTGGTTGTTAGCAGGCGGCAGGCAAAGCTACCATGAGTAAGTCGCATGATATGGTAAGACTGTACCTTCCTTCACTAGCTAAAGTTCATCTGCCGGGTGACACAGGTTGGTAATAAATAATTTTTAAGTAATACTGGCACCAATTTTTTTTAAAGCTTCACATAATGGTTGCACCCTATGAAAAAAATTTGGCATTAAATCTGTGATGATTATGTGGTGAAATACAGTATGTCAGCCTGAATATATGATTAAAGAAAAATAAAATAAAGCATTGCATTTAAAAGTACGGTCAGATTTTTTATCACTATATCACTAAAATGATGTGTGTGTGTGTGTGTGTGTGTGTGTGTGTGTGTAGTGTGTATATATATAATGTATATATATTATATATATAATATGTGGCATATGTTATATATAGTATATATATTAGTAAGGTAGCTTTTATCTTCAAGGTAAGATTCTTCAACATAGTTTGAATATTATCTTTGTTGGAATGTCTTACTCATGTAATCTTGTTAACAATTTAACTATTGTTGAAATACTGGGTTGTTTTTTTTCCCCTTCTTCTGTAATGCTCCCTAATAAATGCTCTTTCTTGAATTCTTTGACCAGATAAACTAAAAATAATCCTTCCTTTAAGATTTGGCTTGTTTGAAGAAGAGAAACTGGCATATGCCTTGGACACTATTTGATTCCTTTCCTCAAACCCAGTAACTTCTTTAGCAGCTCCCATCAATACATTAAGAAAAGCTTATTGTGTGCTTCTGTTCTATGGCGTCCTAATAGTTTAGATAATTTTTGCTTGATTAAAACTAAAGAAAATATATTTTAGAGCCTTTCATCTTTGAAGTCATTGATTTGAATCAAATTACGACCACTTGATGTCTTTTCAGAGAGAGTACCAGCTCAGATTTTTCAGGCAGATACAAAACAGATCAGCACAGTTTGTTAAATCATTTTTCCCTTATTGGACAAGTATATTTCTAACATTCATAAAGTTTCATTTTAGTTTCTGAGCTTGATAACAGCCTTAATTGTATTTTGATTTGGATATTTGTTGCCAATCTAGTATCACTTTTGGTAAATTTGGTATTTCAAAATTACTGACAAAGAAGACTTTTTTTTTTTTTTTGTAAAGACTACCAAAGGAGCTTCTTCTTTTAAGATAACCCGAGGGACTGAAGCTGTTGGTGGTAAATTAAGGTATGTCAAATAAAACACATGGTTATCCATTGAAGATAAATAATGTTGGTTCTACAAGGTGGTCATATTATAGGGAAAATAACTTATTTTACTAATTCAAATCATTGACCTTAATGTATTTCTTGTTTAGTGTGACTAGTACAAGGGAAAGCATGGCTTATATTGCCGAATGCCTCCGGGATGATGTGTAAGTATAAGTTTATTTTGTCTATGTCTAATTCTTGCCCTTTTTGCAAGCAAGCATATTACCATTGGCTTTATTTTAGTATTATTGTCCCCAAATTTGCCTCGATGTCTTTCACAGTGATATTCTAATGGAGTTCCTGCTCAATGTCACCACAGCACCAGAATTTCGACGCTGGGAAGTAGCAGATCTTCAGTCACAATTAAAGATTGATAAAGCAGTTGCTTTTCAAAACCCCCAGACTGGTAAAAAAAAAAAAAAAAAAAAGCATCTTGATAAACTACATTTATGATGGTACTGTTGCAGCTTACAGATGATCTGACTGGCTAGTTAGGGCAGGCCTCTTAGGTGCCTGTATACCCAGTCAGGAGCCCAGTTTTATCTGACCTGATATGATCAGATTGGGCAACTGATTTACACTAACCAAATTCACAAGAAACTGATTAAGAAACAATACCAATTTAATATTTACAGTGGAAAAATAGAATTATCAGAGGATATTTTCTGGAGTCAGTGGGAAGCAACATGTCTACTAGAAATTAGTGGGCATTTTTTGCCAGTAGGAATATTTACTTAAAAGCCAAATTGATATTGGAAGGTTATTTGGTGAATTAAATTTCATAGGACCATACTTGTTTATGTTAGACCCACTACATGTCCCTTCATTGCCTTCTGCGTGATATTCACTTTAGAGTCTGTCCTTTAGAGACTGTCAGCTATTACTTCAGATTAATTTTTACTATCATTATTGTACTATATTAAGCACATCTCATCTCCCCAGGGCTGTACAGAAAAAGTATAAGTCATCATTCCCTGCTCTATAAACACAAACAGCTTCATGAGGAAATGAAAAAATTTCACAGTAAACTCATCGAGATTGCATTGTTCTTTTAGCAGTGAAAGATACTAGATTGTATGAAACAAACAAAAATGTATGAGACCTAAAAGTCTTGTCATTGATTGAAGTGTCTCAGGACAGTTTTTCTCATCTTAAATACCGCTGTCCTGAAATAGTTAGCATTAGGAGTCAAATCCTTACATCCGTGCTTAAGTGATTGTCCAGATTATTATTTCATGGGGAATAGTGTATATTTAAAAAAAAACTTTGAGGAGCAGCTAGGTGGCGAAGTGGGTAGAGCACCCACCCAGGAATCAGGAGGACCCGAGTTCAAATGTGGCCTCAGACATATAACACTCATTAGCTGTGTGACTCTGGGCAAGTCACTTAACCCTGACTGCCTCACCAAAAAAAAAAAAAAAAAGTAAAAAAAACTTTGAAAAACATTATAAACATTTAGATTTAGGATTACTCTTAATTGTGCTAGAATTTCACTAGTGAAATTTATAATTTTCGTTTGTTTTGTACTGCTAGTTATTGTAAAGGACTTAGACTTGTATTTCTTTTGAGCTGTATGAAGAAAAACAAAAATATGCTATTGACTTGTGTCGAGAAAGTTAGGTGATGGCATTTTAGACATATAAAGAGGGCCTTAATGATCATCTAATCCAATTCTTCATATTATAGATGAAGAAACTAGTCTAATAGGGTCATATGGCTTAGGCAAGGTCACACAGAAAGTCGCAGAACTAGGGTCAAAATCAGATCCCTTGATGCCTAGAGTGATCTTTCTAATATTGTAGTCCTGGAAGCTATGGAAGGTAGTAAAGTACATTGCCAATGTGCCAGAGGAGTTTTGTACTCTTGAGATATAAATTCCTAATGAATGTGACACATTTAAAAAAAAAAACCTGCTACTGATAGCCTCTATTTCCTTTGCCAGCAAGCAGAATTTTATATTTTGCTGACAGGCAACCATAAATTTCAAGTCCAAAAATACTTAAGCAGAGTACAACAATCAGAGGGTCACATATTTCCTCCTTTTCCTCACTTCTTTACTATCCTCACTTTAATTTGTATTTCAGTGGATGGTTTTTTTCCCTTTCTTCTTTGTAGGTGTGATTGAAAATCTGCATGCTGCAGCTTATCGGAATGCCCTTTCTAATTCCTTGTATTGTCCAGATTATAAGATTGGGAAAATTACTCCAGAAGAGGTAACTAATTTAACATTTTGTAATTAATACTGTTGCTTTGATATTAAGTATGGTATTTATCTACTATTTCTGTTTTTAGAAAATCTTTTTTTTTTCCAGTTTTTAACAAAAGCCTACTTAGAAAATCCTACGTGGACTTTTGTTCTTAAAATTATGTGCTCTAATGTCACTTCACCTGGTTAGAGGAACCTTTTGAGTTTAAATATCACAACACTGCCTTCTCTTCTCTGATGTTTCATCCTAGGCTTTTCATTTGGCAGGAGGTAGGTGGGGATTTTGCAGAATCTCAAAGTTGGGAGGGACCTTCATAGGCCATCTAGTCCAACCAATATCTTGTGAACAAAAATCTCCTTTAAAATATCTCTAACAACTGGTCATTCATAGCTTGAAAACTTATATTGAGAAACACCTATTGCCAGGTCTAGTGATTGGTACATGTCTGTAGTCCTTGCTGCCAAGGAGACTGAGTCTCATAGATTGCTTTTACTTAGGTGATCTGAACTGCAGTAGAGCTAAAGATGCTTAGATGTCTGCACCAAATCCAGCACCAATATGGAAGGAGAGGGTAGCCTCGAGATAGATGAACTGACCCACGTCAAAGCTTCTACCTTAATAATTAGTGGGATCATGCCTTGTGAGTAGCTACTCCTAAGCTAGCTCATTTCACATTTGGATAATTCATGATTTAGGAAGTCTGAGTTATTGATGGGAAGGAGGTAAAAGTGATGGTCCAAGTAGAAGCATCATAGTATGAAGTGATCTGGGAAATGGCATGTAAGCTGAAGTCTTAGCAATATAAACCAAAAGCTGAGGGCAGAATTCAGGTTATCAGTGGGAAGAAGATGGAAGTGATATCAGTTTCCATGTCATACTAGATGATCCAAAAGATTCCTTCTAACTCTAAAAGTCAGTTCTGCTGTAACTCAACATATGTATTCCTATGCATGGTAAAAGATGAGGGTTGAATTTGTGGATACAGACCAACCCACTTCCTCCTGCTTCATCAAAAGACATACTATAAATATGGCACTTAGACACATTTGAGATGTTAAATGTGGTGGGTGTGAACACATAAAAGTTCACATATATGAAAGAATAGCAAAACACAATTTTGCAAAGAATATTTGCAAAGTGCTAGCATGGTACTGTCCTGTCATGTAGTGGGCATTGTGTAAATGCTTATTCCCTTTCTTTGCCTTTTGTAGGATAACACACCATGACCCGAGGTGTAGTGGCTGGTAGATTTTTGAAGTTTATGCATTTTGTGTATTCCCCTGAGGCTTGGTTCATCTGGGTGCAGTTTTCTAGGTTGACTGTTTCCTCACGAACAAAATCAAGCATAAGCAAACTCAAAACTTGCATATTCAAAGCAAGTGTTAAAGCAGAACTATACAGTTTTTGTTTATATTAACGTCAAAATAACTTAATTAAAGTGTTTTCATTTCTTCAGCTTCATTACTATATACAGAACAATTTTACAAGTGCAAGGATGGCTCTGGTTGGACTTGGTAAGTTTTGATATAGCTGTCTTTAATTGCCTATCAGTTAATATAAACCATAGTCTGAATACAGTGTGGGATCTGATTTGAATAATGGGTTACAGGTAAATGGGAGACCTTTAGTCAGTGGCTTCAAATACCGTGATTACCTTTTGTTTAATTTCTAATGACATTTTTAAGTCAGAATCTGATATTTAACTTTATAAATAGCCTGTTTGAATTTTCACTTTATAAGCTTCAGTTTTGACTCGTATCTATTACTGTAGGTATAAACCATATTGTTCTGAAGCAAGTTGCCGAGCAGTTTCTAAACATGAGAGGTGGGCTTGGCATGTCTGGTTCAAAGGCTCACTACCGTGGAGGTAGGTATTTTTGGTTAGGTTTGGTTTTATCAGAGGACATAAAATTGGTTTCTTCTAATTCATGTGCAGGCAGTGTAATATAATGGAAAACATGCTGAACTTAGAGTCAGGAGAACCTTGTTCTTGAATCTTATCTCTAGTATTTATTAGTTTTTTTGAATATGGGGTAAGTCACCTCTCGGAGCTCTTCCGTTCGCTGTTACTATTTTCATGGAGGACATGAAGGGAATGATTTACTTTACTATCAACAGCTATATGACTTTGGATAAATTGGTTCAATTATCTGGATCTCAGTTGCTTTGTAAAATGAACAGGTTGGACAAAATTATCCCCTCCTCAATCAGTAAATGTTTATTAAGTGCCTCCTATGTACCAGGCACTGTGCTAAGTGCTGGGGAAACAGAAAGAGGTAAAAGACAGTATCTGCCCCCAGTGAGTTTACAGTCTAATGGGGGAAACAACATGTAAAAAAGAATATACAAAGCAAGCTATATACAGAATAAATAGGACATAATAAAAAAGAGAAAAGGCACTACAATGAAGAGAGGTTGGAGAAGACGTCCTATAGAAAGTGAGATCTTAGTCGGGACTTTAAAAAGAAGCTAGGAAGGTCAGTACTCGGAGTGGAAGAGGGAGAACATTCTGGGTAGGGAGGACAGCCAGGGAAAATGACCATAATTGAAGGAGTGTCTTGTTGGTAGAACAACCAGGAGGTCAGTATCACTGGATCTAAGTGTGAGTGTCAAGGGAATAAGGTCAACGAGTGGAAGGTAGGAGAGGGCTAGGTTATGAAGGGCTTTGAATGCCAAACAGAAGATTTGTTACTTTCTGCTGGAGGCAATAGGGAGCCCCTGGAACTTACTGATGGTGATGGGGAGGGGTGACATGATCAGATCTGCAGTTTAGGAGAATCACTTGAGTGGCTGAATGGAGGATAGATTAGAGTGGGGAGATACTAGAAGCAAGTGGACCCTCCAGCAGGCTATTGCCATAGTCCAGGTGTGAGGTGATGAGAGCCTACACTACAGTGGTGGCTGTCAGAGGAGAGAAGGAGGTGTATTTGAGAGATGTTCCAAAAGTGAAATTGACAGGTCTTGGCAAGAGCTTGGATTGGGGTGGAGGTGGGGGGAACAGGGTGAGGAATCCAGCATAACTCCTAGGTTGCAAGCCTAAGGGACTAAGAAAATAGTATTGTTCTCCAAAGGGGAATAAAGGTTTAGGGAGATCAATAATAAATTCTGTTTTGGCATATTGACTTTAAGATATTTATTGGTCATCCTGTTCGAGGTGTTTAAAAAGCATTTGGAGATGTGAGTTAGGAAGTCCGCAGAGTTTCAGACAGGAAAGGTAGACTTGAGAGTCATCAGCATGGAGATGGTAAATTAAATGATAGCTGATGAGATGACCAAGTAGTGTAAGAGAGAAGAGGCCCCAGGACAGAAGTTAAAGACTGATCTGGAGGATGATTCAACAAAGTAAACAGAGAAGTAACTGTCAGATAGGTAGGATGAGAACTGCGAGAGAGTGGTGTCCCAAAAACCTAGCGAAAAAATATCCAAAAGGAATTATTGGCAGTGTCAAAGGCTATATACAAGTCAAGAAGAATGAGGATTGAGAAAAGGCCATTGGATTTGGCACTAAGGGATCATTAGTAACTTTGCAAAGAGCAGTTTTCTTAGAATGATAAGGTCAGGAGCCATACTGAAAGGGGTTAAAAAGAGAGTGAGAGGAGAGGAAGTGGAGGAACTTATCAGAGATGGCCTCTTCAAGGAATTTAGCTACAGAAAACATATAGGATGATAGTTATCAGGGATGGAAGAATCAAGTGGGGGATTTTTCAGAATAGAGGAGACATGGGCGTGTTTGTAGGCAGTAGGAAATGAGTCAGTAGGCAGAGAGAGACTGAAAATAAGTGGAATGACCGGGGTAGGGGTATGGCGGGGGCGGCGCGCCAATCTCTGGGAGGAGATGGAATGGGATCACTTGAACAAGTAGAGGGATTAAGCCTTGCCAAGAAGTAAGGCCATCAAAAAAAAAAAAAAGAGCCACTTCATGTGATACAGGGATGAAGGAGGAGAGAGTGGCATAAGGCACCTGAGTGGTAGGAGATGAAAAAGAGGAGGGAGTCTCTGTGATTCCACTATTGCCTTTTTTTTTTTTTTTTAAACAAACTTAGTCTTTAAAATAAGACCTATAATATCTTCAGGTCGATACTTGGGAGTAATGAGTGGATTAGCTAGTTTGGAAGGGAAGAATTTGTCCCTATGTTGTCTCTTCAGTGGTCCATGTTGAGGTATAATTGAACAGTACTGCAGGATGATGTAAGGGAGAAAAGGACCAATTAATTATCTTAGTTATCACTTCTTTTTTGTGTGTACCATTACTTTTATGAAGGTGAAGTTGACTTAAGGGCAAAACTTGGATTTAATGAGAAATTTAAAACAAAAACAAAATCTGATTAACCTTTTGCTTTCCCTCCCACCCCAGGTGAAATTCGAGAGCAGAATGGTGATAGTCTTGTCCATGCTGCCATTGTAGCCGAGGGGGCTACCTCAGGAAGTGCAGAGGCAAATGCATTTAGTGTCCTTCAGCATGTCCTTGGTGCAGGGCCTCATGTTAAGAGGGGCAGCAATGCCAGCAGCCAGCTGCATCAGGCTGTAGCCAAGGGAACAAACCAACCATTTGATGTTAGTATAAACATTTATTGCCTTTATTTTATTTTCAAAGATTTAGTATTAAAATATAGTTCTGAGAAAAGGCTTGAAAAATTATTAAGATTTAAGACATCTTAGGGAATCTTTTTAGAAACTGAAGAAATAACCATGCTTAATTTGACATACCTCTCTCCTTTCCCATCTCTCTGATGTAAAATCTATTTCAGATACTCTAATGCAAAAGAAAAAAAGAATACTTAGAACTGTCAGAAATTCAGACTGAATGCTCAACATTCATTTCTTAGATTTTTCTTCCCCCTTGGGCTAATTTTTTTTTTAACTTAAAGGTTTAGGACCCCTTTATCCAGCTAGTCCTTTGTCTGACTTAGGTTTCTTTCTGTATTTCCTTGTTTCCACTTCTAACTCTCTCACCACTTCTCATCTAGTGCATGCTATTCTAGCTCTCTGATTCTGGGGTGAAATGAGAATGGCACATCATTGACATAATTAGAAGTTCATTATTTTTACTTCTTTAACACAGTTCCATTTTTTGGCAAAGATCAAAGTGCTGAAATGACCTAGAGCCAAGAAGTCAAAAGACATCTTTCTCCTGAAAAGAAAATGCAATTCCCTTTTTGATTATAAAGAGCCATTGTACCTTTGAAAGATAATCATTCACTCCTTTCCTTAGAGCTCTTTTTAGGCCCACTCTGTGTAATATAAAGTATAAATAACAGTATAATATAAAGTATAAGTAACAGTAAAAGAACATTATTATTCTTGTTGACTTAGCAAATCTTTGGTTAGTTGATACTCTGATGGTACTTAATTGTAAGTGTTTTACTTTATTTCTCAATCCCATAGAACCAGGAAGTAAAGCTATTCTTCTTAATACATACTTCATTGAGGGTTTTCTTTTTTGCACCATAGTCTTCCTACTATTTCTTTCATCTTTCCTATGCCCATTGACTCTAGTGAGTGTTAATAATAGCCTTTTCTTAGGTCAAAATGAATGTTTCTTACTAAACATCAGTTCAATAGTTCTGATTCAGTATTTGACCAATTGGTTATGTAGATGTTGAGACAAATGCTGCATTGAGCTGTCTGCATGTTTATATAAGTTTTATATGAGAAAGTGCTTAAGGATTTGTGATAAAGAAGTTTCATTTATGGAAGCTTTAACTGTATGCTTGGAATAATGCAGTAAGACCCTATTTATCTGAGTATCAGATTTCAGACCACTTCAAACAATTAGAGCACTTAAAAGTAATCAAAAGATGCCTCTGAGGAACAAAAAAGCTTTCACAAATTTTGTGCATTCTAATTTATTGGGGGCTTAAAGCCTCCCTCAGGCCATCATCTAGACAATTTTGCATAAAGGTAGTACATAAGAATCTGAGAAAGTAACAGCCATCAACCTAGGAAATAGACTTAAAGAACAACATTCTGGAGCCGCTTTCCATAGGCCCCTAAAATCTCAGGAATATATCTAGTATATTCCTGTATAGTATGTGTATTATGTTAATTTATATTCACATTGAGATAGTCATCAAGGGAAGAGTAAAGCATTTTATATAAGAAACTCAATAAAGTCCTCCAGTGCCTTAGTTCTTACCTGTTACTGGGAAGAGCATAAGCTCTGAGTGTTCTTGCCACTAGAATAGCTTTGAGTATGAATGAGTACAGATTATAAGTCTGTTGCATGAAGCCCAGCCTAGTTAAGTTCACTGAGATAACTAGGTTGGCTAAAGGATATTAATTTTAGGGGGGCTACAACAGTTTGAAAACATCTACCAAAAATAGTAAAGGAATTACAATTGGTGAGTCTTGTAAAAAGTGCAAGTATCCTTATAAGTACTGAAGTAATACACTTAAGAAAACTGGGAAGTTTTAATAATAATAATAATACCTATTAGAAAGATTTCCATCAAAAAGTTATAGGAAAAGTAAACCACATAGAACCTAAAAGGAATGATGACAGTTCACCAAGGAAAAACAGGAAAGGAAGTAGTTTTCACAGCTATGGATGGGGAGAGATTTTGACCAAATGAGGAATATGAAGGCTCACGAAAGATAGTGAACAATTTTTAACATTAAATTTAAAAGATTTTGAACAAATAAAATCATTGCAGTTAGAACTAGAGGGAGGGAGACTGAATTTTGAAAAAAAATTTCAACAAATTTCTCTGATAAAGATCAGATGTCCAAGATACATAGGGTGGTCTCAAAAATTTTGTATAGTGAAGACCACTCAATATAGTGTGTGTGTGTGTGTGTGTGTATGTATGTGTATGTGTGTGTGTGTATGTTGTGGATGCATATATGTGTCTTTCTGTGTGTATGTATGTAAACAAGAACAAATTTTCCAATAGAGAAATGGTGCAAGGATATGCATAGACTGTTCTTAAAGGAAAAATGGTAATCTATCAACAACCATATTTTCTTCAAATGACTAATAGAAATTAAAACCACTCTAGAGTTTCACTTCACACCCATTACACTGGGAAAGATGACAGAAAAGGAAATAACAGTTCTTGGGAGGTTGTAGAAGCACAGGCACACTCATGCTGTTGGTGAAACTCTGAAGTTATCCAACAATTCTTGAAAGCCATCTGAAACAATGTTGCAAAATCTAATGAATCTAACAATTCTAAATGCCCTGTGACCTGCTAGACTTATATCCCGAAGAAATCAATGAAGAAAAGACCCAAACATACAAAAATATTTATGGTATCACTTTTTGTTTAGCAAAAAACTGGAAACAAAGTGGTTGCCTATCAACTGGGGCATGGCTGAACAAATTATGGTATGTGAATTGATGGAATATTATTTTGTCATAAGAAATAATGAGAAAGGAAAAAATTCAGAGAAACTTAGAAGGCTTTATATGAATTGTTGGAGAAAGAAGTGAGCAGAATCAGAACAGTTTATATGAAGACTACATCAATGTGAAAGACTTAAGAACCAGTGCAATGACCAGTCATGACTACCGAAAACTGATGTTGAAATATGTTTCCCACCTCTTTTTAGAGAGTTAGTGCAGAATGAGACAGCAATGTGTGGATTTGTCCTCATATTTGTTACAGACAAGGACTTTTAGTCTTTGTTAGGGAAGAAGAACGGAGAGGGATAGTAATATTAAAATAGAGTAGGAAAAGATGGTTAATGAATGAATCACTTTTTTAAAAAAGTAAGAAGAAAGTTTAGAAGGGAACAGACACAGTGTTAGGACTACAATGTGAAGTTAAAAATATCTTTTAAAAAAGAGGGGGGAATTGTATTATCTCATTAAGTGGGATAATGAAGTATTTTGCTTAGAAAGGAAGACACTAGTCTTTGGCCATCCTTAGGAAGTATATCTCTTCCCCATATCTTGTTTTGACTTTTATTACTGTATTTAATAAAGCTGAATTGTTTTTCAGGTTTCAGCCTTTAATGCAAATTATTCTGATTCTGGACTCTTTGGAATTTATACTATATCTCAGGCTGCAGTTGCTGAGGATGTAAGTTTTAAACCCCTCTCCCCCCCTGAAATTTTTTTTATTAAAATATAAAATGTTTGAATACTGTAATTAATCACATATTTGAAGTTTGCATATTTATAAATGTTTATTATAATAATAGCTGCTGGCATTTATATAGCACTTTAAGGTTTGCAAAGCACTTTACATACATTCATTTGATGCTCACCCTGTGAGGTAGGTGCTAATGTTATCATTTTAAGGAGGAGAAAACAACTGAGAGAAGTTAAAAGATTTTCCCAGGATCACACAGGTAGTGATTTTGAGGCAGGATTTTAACTCAAATCTTCCAGCATTCTATCCACTTCCCCACCTAACTGCCTAAATATAAGTTTTTTTGAAAGGCAAAAAACAGGGAGGGCTAATAGCTCCCTTGGCCATTTTTGGTCATCCATGTAAGTAATTGATAAAAATGTCAAAAGGTATAATACGCTGTGGTACATTATGAGATCTCCTTCCAGGTGGATACTTAAAAGATCAATTTAGAGGGTAGAGAAAAAGATAACAACCTGCTGTAATAAACCTGCCAACTGTTATCTTTCAAACCACATTGCACCACATTGCACCACCTTGCCAATACGAGAATGTCAGATGCCTTGCTGAAATCAAAACAGATTATATTTTATAAAATTCCCCTGATCTGCCATCCTAGTAACTCTATAAAAATGAAATCAGCAAAAACTGAATTTCTTATTATTTATGCAAAATTAGATTCAAGGTCTGAGAAGCTGGTATTTTCAGTGTCAGTGCAGAATATCTTTTATACATCTTCAATTCAAACATTTCTAACGATGGAGCTCACAGTCCCACAAGATGGTCCATTTCATTTTTTGACAGCCTTCTTTATTAGAAAGCTCTTTATACTGAGCTAAAATCCACCTTGGTATAACTTCCACCACTTCTTTTTTTTGATGCTTTAAAAAGTCGTGATAGTATGTATCTAATCTGTCTTCCACATGACACCTTGAAAGCAATTACTGTATCCCGGGATTTTTTTCCTATAAATTGAATATCTCTAGTTGCTTCAACCATTCTCCTTGTCATAGTTTCAAAACCCTTCACTGTCCTCATCCCTTTTTACCTATATGTACTTTAGTTTATCAATGGCTTACCTCAAAATTCGGTGTTCAGAACTTAACATAGTATTAAAGATGCGATCCAGTTAAGACAAAGTGTGTCCCTTGCTCTGAACCATTTAATAGTCTATTCTTTGTGTGTGTATGTCTTAAGAATTTAGAACAGGTTATTAAATAGAAGGTTTGCAATAATTTGAAAAAGGAAGCAGCCAGTAGTGAGTCATTAAAGATTTTCAAGCAAGGGAAAGACTTGAACAGATATGTTTAAGAAAGGCAGCTGTATATATGCAACTGGTAATCCTCCTATATGGAGGAAGTGTGATAATTGCCAGGAGAAATAGTGAAAATTCCCCTTTGGGGAACACCCACATAAGAAAGCTAGGAAGCTAGTGAAGAGCCATTGGAGACATAAAAGGAACAGTTAAATACAGAAGGAAAATCAGGAGCATTATGGTACCCCTGAAGCCAAGAGAAGAGAGAATATCCCAACAAGAGGTGGTGGCCATGTAAAGAGATCAAGAGGATGAGTATAGCCACTAAATTTGGCAATGAGGAAATCACAGGTAACCTTTTTAGAGTGGGGAAAGGAGAGAGAAACAAGCATTTATTAACTGTGCTTATATGTGCCAGATACTTTGCTAAGCACTTTATAAATATTATCTCATTTGATCCTCACAACCCTAGGAGGGTGCTATTATTACCATTTTACAGTTAAGGAAATTGATGCAGCTGGAAGTTGTGACTTGCCCAGGGTCACACAGCTAGTAGTATATCTATGGCCAGATTTAAACTCAGGTCTTCCTGATTCTAGGCTCAGTGCTTTATCCACTGTACCACCCTAGCCCTAGAGTGGTAGGGATAGGATAACTAGTTGCATTGAGGTTGAAAAGAAAGTTGATAATGAAAAAAAAGGCATGAGCAGAACCCATGAGTGATTTAGATGAAATGTCCAAGGAAAGTATTGTACTTCTACCTCCTCTTTTAAACCCTGAAGTAAGCTAAAGCCCCCAACTCCATGCCTTGAGCTTCACCTTGGCCCTTCTGGTTTTCTACAGCTAAAAAGTATGAGATGAAAGGCAGCTGAAAGCTATAGGAGTCTAAAAACCTCCAGCCCAAGACAAAAAGACCTCAACTCAAAAAATCCTATTTTTTCAGTTCTAATTTTACAGTCTCTTCATTTCTTTACCCAAATAATGGAAAGCTCATGTTCTCTACCCAGTCTTCTCTTACCTCTATGTTGGCTTTTCCATTAGCACTTCTCATTCTATGCTAAGCCCCTTACACTTTCTGCCATTGTGTGTCCTTAATGTTTTCTAAGGATTTTCCGTGAAGGGAGGAAGGGGGTCAGTGTATTACAATAGGAAGATTATAGAATGGTTTAGTAGGAAGTTTGGTTTGGTTGTTTTTTGAAGGAGATTTGGAGCTTATCAGTGTAAATTTCCATAATATCATCCTCTAAACAGCTCTCTACAACCAAATTTGACCAAAGTTATATTGTCATCTGGAAGTCCAGTACAGTTGAGCTTTGACAAAAAATGGAGAAAATGGCACTGAAAGTTACTGATTAAATTTACTTTTCTCTCTAGGTTATCAGGGCTGCTTACAACCAGGTAAAAGCAGTTGCTCATGGTAACCTTCCTGAACCAGATGTCATAGCAGCTAAGTAAGTATAAAATATGTATGTGTGTGTGTGTGTGTTATGCTTTTGCTCTTTAGGTGAGGAAAAATCAGTTCAGCTGAACAAAGTCTAATATTTTGCCATTCATAGGAAATTAGAAATGCTACCTTGATTCAGGTTAGCACTGACCTCAGTGCAGAGTTTTAAATTTCAGGCACACAATTTTAAATCTTCCCTCCTCTTTTTTCTGCATGTAAAATGTTTTGTTGTTCTTTAAAGGGGTTCAGAAGTTTGTTTGGAATCCAGCTGCATACCTTTTAATCTGACATTTCTCTCAGCTTCACCTAGCAATACCTCCATTAAATTAGAAAGAAAACCTTTTTTAATTTCACAGGAAAAAATCCAGTTTTGAGAATACAGCTTTACTTTTTGTGTAAATTGACTTTATACTAAAGACTTAAGAAATCCACATTCCAAAAACCCACTTTACTATACAGTACTGTGTACTCTATTGGTCCACTTTTGCCCCTGGCTTAGCGTTCTCCCCTAACACCCCACAAAAAATAAAAAAATCCTCCAAATGAAAGCGGAAGAACCCTCACCACCACTGGCTCCAGAGCTTGGCTTGAGACCTCCAGTTGGGAGAGAAGACACCTTTATCCAGCTCCACCCGCCTGCCCTTGTGTCTTCCATCCTTAGATACCACATGATTGTCCCCAGGCCCCAAGTTTCCCTGTCCATGTCTATGTCCAGCCATACATACATGCCTTCCTCCTGCTCTTGCTTCTCTGTCCCAGTCCCCCACATGTCCTTGAACTGTGTGCTCCCTTCACAGGCATGTGAATTGATATTACCTTCTATCTACCTTCTCTCCCCCTTCCCCCATTTCCTGGCTCCCTGTTTCCCACATCTGTGGGCAAATTTGCATTATGTAAAAATTGATTTATGTAGAGGTCTGCAATAGTAAAGCAAGAACTGTCTATAGTTAACATCTTTAGTCTGTGATTCAAAATTATCCTTATATATACCCTTCTCGTTAGACACATCTTCTTGGCTGCAAGGTCCTCCAGATTGGCCATTTACTATGAGCAGTTTTTGAGCTCAGACACTCATCAGCTTTTTCAAAGAAGTTTTCTGACACCTTCCCCTTTATTCCCAATATCATTCTCATATTTGTAGGTTAACATACTTACTGTTTGAAAGTGACCCATTCCTAGGAACCAAATTGAGATTAATATTCCTAATTTACAGGAATTTAGTTACTGCTTTGAGAGACCTAACATCTTTTTTTCATCAGTTTTGTTAATAGAAGTTTGAGGAATTAGGGTAGATTTTAGATAAAAAATTTAAGAAGTGTGTATGATCTTAGGATTCAAAGTTTCAGTGCTAGATAGAATCAATTAATATTTATTAAGCACTGCAACTACAAATGTGAAAAGACAGTCCTTGCCAGCAGGGAGCTTACAATGTAACCCTGAGGCCATTTAGTTCAACTCTTGCCTCTCAGTAGCGTTAATTACCTTTTAACCATTTAACACTTATGTTAATAACTTAATGACAGTTGGGTATATTGTGTTATTAGAATCTAGGAAATCACCATATAACTTAATCATTCATACCTCATTGGTGTCAAAACTGTTACACTGAACAGTCCCTTGAATTTGTGCAACACACTTTATTAAATGACCCAAGAGCTGATTCACTACACCTTTACACAGTTGCATTGTCAATGAAACAAACTATCAGTAAACTGAAGCATTTGACCTTTAAAGAAATAAATTTAGGTTTTAAATGCTGTTTACTTTTTTTTAAAAATATTTTAGTGTTGTACAAGTTTACAGCAGAACACAAAACACTCAGTTACCAGTTTTGAAAAATGGTTGTTTTTTTTTAATGTACCATGTCATGTTTAGTCTTCCCATAGCAAGCAAAAAAAAAAAGTGTAATCATTGCAGAGAAAAAGAATTACATAATCTCTTAGTAAAAGATCTTAATTTGAGAGGCCCTGAGGAAGGACATATTTTTCAACTGCATCTTAGATGCCCCCACACACACACAACCCCCGAGTCTTTACCTCTTTATTTCCTATGGCTTTATTATATTAACTGGTACACTCAATCACATTCTGTGCTCTGGCTCTCAGTCAAACATATATCCAGCATACAGTTCCAGCAACAACCAAAAAAAAGTAAAATTTTCTGAACCAAATAATTTTTTTTATTTCATTATTAGTGTACTGTGAATTGTAAATATAGCAATTATAGAGGCTTTTTGATTTAAAAAATTTGTTTAAAAAACAATTCCTTTCCCCTCAAAAAAAACCACATTGGGGACCTTCTGTTAGAACAAAGAATCACAAAATCTCAGGGACCTCCATCTATATCCACCCATACCTGAAATAGAATCCTCTTTACAACCTACTTGACAAGCAGTTTATCTAGCTTTTGCTTGAAAACTTCCATTGAAGGGGAACCCATAAGAAAATAGCATAACTAAATAAGGTTTTTTCTGCAGTTCCAGAGTTTTAAGTGGGTCCAGGCAAGTATTACAGAATAGTTTTTATGGAATACAATTAAATTTAATAGCTATTACTACTAGATTTTGTGTACAGTAGTTTTGAAAACTAATAGTAATAAATACTAGGTAAATTAAGAAAATAGACTAGAAAACTATGGTCATTTAAGATTTTGAAGGCATTGTGCATACAACTATATGAGTACTTTCCAACTAACTTTGTTATTTAGAAGAATAAACCTTAATGTTTATGTGTTGAAAATCTATTACTTAAATTCTTCATAATAAACACTTTCTTGCCTAGAAACAAACTAAAAGCTGGGTACCTGATGTTAATCGAGTCTTCAGAGGGATTTCTGGATGAAATTGGGTCCCAGGCCCTGGCATCTGGTTCATATGTCACACCATCATCTGTTCTTCAAACAATTGACTCTGTGGCTACTGCTGATGTCATAACAGTACGTAAAATAAACCACTTCATAATGTTGGAATGTAATTATTTCTATACTTGAGCTTTCCTGATTTTATACACAAGTATGATTTACCTTTTTCACCTATATAAAAAAGGAACAACTGTTTTTAAGGGTTCCTTTTGGTGGGTGGGTGGGTGCGTGCATGTGTATAAAATCCAGACCTGAATGATTTTAAAATCCTGAACACATTAGCATGCTCACAGATACTTTTGTGCATGACTCAAAGTTAGGGATTAGTTTTACGTTTGTACATTGCATTAAAAATGTACAAGAAAAAAGCTGTGATCATTTCATCTATTGTCTCCGACATGTGTCTCAGCTCCTACCTGTTTGTCAAGAGAAAGCAACACCCCCAGGTGGTGTCACCATGCTTCTTCCTCAAAAACCAGCTTTACTTTAAGAATTTCTTTGCAATACAAGAGTAGGCCTGTACCTATAGATTTATACTTACCCTAAAATACCAAATTGCCTTGCTTCTAGAATTTTTCATGTGGCATTTAAATGTTTGTCCATTTTAATGGTACTTAATGAAATAAAAGATAAAAAGTGTCTTATAACCTGATAAAATTTTGACAGACACACACACACACCCCCCCCTCAAGTAGAGGGGTAGCTAGATGGCACACAGGATTGAGTGCTGGGCCTGAATTCAGGAAGACCCAAGTTCAAATCTAGCCTCAGATACTTGCTAACTGTGCTCACTTACCCTATGTGTGACACCCTGAGCAAGTCATCTTACCTCTGTTTGCCTTACTTTCCATAATGGTAAAATGGGGATAATAATAGCATCTACCTCCTAGAGTTGTGAGGATAAAAGTGAAATAATCTTTGCAAAGCACACTGCCTGGCACTAGTAGACACTGTATAAATATTAGCTATTTTCCAAATCCTTAAAGCAGCAGGTACCTAAGATTGTTGCAGAGAAAGTCCTAATCTGCATTGAAGCTCTCTACACTAATTACATTACATTTCCACTCTTTAAAAAACAAAATGTGTTTTAAGTAGTGATGTATGTTTTATTATTTCTGTCAACTTTTCAGGCAGCAAAGAAATTTGTTTCTGGCAAGAAGTCAATGGCAGCAAGTGGAAATCTGGCCAATACCCCATTCCTTGATGAATTAGAAAAATGAAGCACCTACAATGGAAGAAAACAAAAAACTTTCTCAACACAAACTGGCAGAATAGCCCTTGGTGAAAGATCAGAATTTATTAACACTATTCCATCTTTTTATTTATGAATTGAAAAATGGCAAAACAGAAATGCAGATAAATTGCACCTGGTCTAATGTAAAGCCAATAAAACATTTTATTTAAAATGCTTTTGCTAATTCTTTTCCTGAATTTTTCTTAGTCTGTTAAGTGTTTGAATACCTACTTCATTGTATGCTAGGGGAGGGGTAGGAAGGGATATTTATTTTTTGCTTGAGTAAAAATGCACAATAAATTTGCATAAAGGTCACTCGGATTTCAGACTATCAGGCACTGTTTATAAAAACAAGTAGATCAGTTAAACAGATTATTAGATAAGCAAAAAACAGGAATAAAAATAGCAGCCCCCTTGTTCAGTGAACCCATGAGTATAAATTACTGTTTAAAGGACTCCCTTATTATATTTATTATACAAGGACTGTCAAGAAAACTAGAAAGCAATATGAAAGGAATTAGATTTAGTCCAACATTTTACTTCTTTCCTTAATATAAAAGGTTACACCATTAAAAAAGTTAGAAGATAACTAATTCAAGTATCTTTAATTGCAAACCATAAATTATCATAAGAAAATAAGACTCCAGATTACTAAGTATAAGAAAAGTACATATTAAATAATTGTTTCTCCTCGCACCATACAGACTGGCAAAGGTGGAAAGAGTGAAGATAAAATGGTACAATCTGATAACTTGGTGGAGCTGTGAAGTAGCTCAGTCATTGTGACTTTCAATTTGGAATTAATTTCAATTTGGAAAACTCCCCAGAGCCAATGATCACAGAAACAAAGGTTTTTTGTAGTACCAAAGAACTCGAAACAAAGCTGGTGTTGGAAGAATGGCTGAAAAATTATGGAATCTAATTGTGCAGTAAAAAATAACAAATGAAAAAATCAGAAACCAGAGATGTATATGAAAAAGCAGAAGAAAACAATATATAGCTGAACTTTTAAGTTACTAAAATATCAATGAAACTTCCAGAAAAGAGATAAACAAAATTTCCCTCACTCTCCACCACCATGGCAAGGAGATAAAGGATTACTTGGCTCAGAACATTGAATCACTGTTTTTTCTTTCTCAAAAGAAATGAGGATGGGGGAAATAACTGATTTAAAAAAATACATTTTTGAAAAAAGATTATTAGAAATTTGGTAGAGCTAACTGGATACAGTCAATTCAATATTTCAGAATTGTTAGATAACTTTTAAATAATTCATAGAGGTAGTAGTTACCATTTAGGTAAAATTAAATAACTGGATTTCTCCATGGTAGGTACATTTAAGAAAGACTGCATAAATTGAATGTAAATCAAAGTCTTGTTTTCTAAACAATTAAGGTTACAGCTCATTTTCAGTTTTCCTCTCACAAGGTCTCTTCTCTCTGAAGGAGTAAAACATAAACCAACACTTAATACAGTAGATCACACAACCTAAGAGAACCCTTTTGAAAGTAATAACTTTCTAAGTAAATGATCATCCTAGAATTTATCTGTTTTATATATCAAAGTGTGGGGTAATTATATTCTGTATACATTGACCTGAGCCAAAGTCTATTCCTTTTACCTTAAGAGGTTGAAGATCAATGTTTTGACATCCTCATAGTTCATTCTGCCACTAAAATCCCATAGCATTATATTCATATGCACTGATTCATTCTCTCAAGGACAGGATCAAAGTATTCTGGATTGTGTTGCTCTTTTGAGAATGGAAGTTGCAGAGCTAGTTATAATTATGTTTCGATATCGCCTAAAAAAGATCCATGGAGGCTTCTGGATTACAACTGCTTTCTATATACTCAGCTGGGAAGAATGCATCCCTTTGTAAAATAAATCTATATATAATGATGTGCTAAAATTAAACCTTTAGCACTTCAATGGCATGGAAAATTAAACATCTGATCCTGAATTAAATCATCTTCCTATGTAGTAAAATATTGGTCCTTTTCCTGTTGAGCACAGGCACAATCTTCAAGCCAAAAAGCATCTGATGTAGAAGAGGAAGTAGAAGAAAAGTCACTGTCTTGTTTTACCATTGTCCAATATGGGGAAGGTGCTCTAAAGTCTTTTGGAACCTCCATGTTCTGCTCATCAGAATTCTTATGAATCATAACATCACATCCGATGTCTTCTCCTACAGTAAATATATGATTCTTTTTTTTATATCCATGCCAGTCTGTGGAGATTGATGACAGCTTCCTTGTAGAATGATGCTGAAATGATTGTGGAGACTTATAGTACTTAAATCGTTCATCTAACTGGACATCTTCATCATCCTCACTACTAGAGAAAGATGTATCTTCTTCCTGCTCATATTTCCTTGATGTGCTAAAATGGGAAGAATAAGTAATGAAATAGATTTTAAAATTTGCAGTATTGGGGCAGCTAAGTGGCATAGAACCACGTAGACAGAGCTATGGACTTGGAGTCAGGAGAACCTGAGTTCAAATCCAGCCTCAGACACTTGACATCTCCTAGCTGTGTGACCCTGGACAAGTCATTTAACCCCAGTTGCCTCGCCAATAAATAAATAAATGATTAAAAAAAGATATTTGCAGTATTTTTAGAATTCTTAAATGAATTGTCCTACAATCTGCATTAATCTCCCTTTTAAAAATTTTAAGTAACCTTTAATCTTTTCTATACCTAGACTTTACTTTAAAATACCTTGCACAATTCATAAGAACTATGTTAAAATTAAGCTCAGGCTTTTTCTATGAGTGATAGTGAGAACTAAAGGTCAATGCTTTATTCTTACTGCATCCAGTTCAGTCCCTAAAGGAGTATGGAGTCCATTGGTGCTACTACATTTCTGGCCTCCTTTGACTTCTCTCTAGAGACTGAGTAAAGGTGAAATGATATCACAAAGCAACTGTATCTTTTGGGGGTTCAAATGAAATGGTTGAGTACCTTCAAAATGGCAGAGTTCTATTTATAGTAATGCTAGGAAGTCACTGCTTCTTTTCATATCTACTGCTTAATGAAATTAAATATTCAGTCTTGTGTTTCTATATATTGCTTTGTAGTTCTTTTACCACTTTCCATCCAAGGGTCCTCTTGCTGCTCACTTAATTACATCTTTTTTTTTTTCATAAGGACCTCCAACAACTTTTCTGTAACTTGCCTTTGTTTTCTTTCATTTGAAGGATAGTTTTATGCTATCCGTCACCTTTCCTCATGACATTTGAACCTCTCCTAATTCTCACACTCTTACTCTCACTTTCTCTCTCTCTCTCTTTCTCACATACTCACACACACACACACACACACACACACATATACACACACACCTGACTATCCACCCTTACTCACATGTAGTCCTGTTACCACCCAGATGGGTAAACATGTATTTGTGAAAAGTGAACTCCAGTGTATTCTGCTTCCAAACTATAATATAATACACTGACATTTCATGAAGTTGGTATTATAATCACTAACTTACCAATTAGTTCTCAGGTCACTGCCAACTTGATTTGTTAATAAGGATTTAATTACTCTGCACAATAAATTTACCAACTTTTAACTATATGCAAATAGAACAAAATTGTTCTTACTTATGGCTAAGTCTTACTGTTTTGAGTTTAGATCCAGCTTTATAGAAAACTCAAAAGACCTTAGATCCTACATATTCACAAGCTCATCCTATTCTCTCTGGTCCCAACATGTTCAGATGATTGCATTATTTTAAATTAATGACCATAGGTCATTTCTCATTCTTAGTAAAATGTGTACTTGTCAATACAGTCTTATAGACAAGCAGCAGCATGATGTAGAGAAAGCACACTGGCCTTGGAAATCAAGAGACCTGGGTTCATATCCTAGTTCCAAAACTGTAGTGTGACTACAGGCTCTTAACTTTCCTGACCCTCAAGGTGCCCTTATCTGTAAAAGGAAGGAGATATACTACTGTCAAACAGGGTTGGTGTGAAGTGTCCCATAAGCCTTAAAGCACCATAAAGTATGAGCTGTACATGACTGCTAGATTTAACAGCAACATAAAATAGGAATAACTAGGGAAAATTAGGAAGAAAGGTTTTTTGATTAGTGAAATCAGGGAAGTACTTGAATGAATCTGTTGTGGGGAAAATGTATTTTCCTAACACATAATGCTGTATACCAGAACAATAATTTTAGAAATGTGCTTCAAAACTCAGCAAATCCTAATTATCACCAATATCTTTTCTACCCATCTGATCCACTCTCCCTTTAAACATGGATCACATTTTATCTACATAAATATTTTTCACCACATAATAAATTTATATCAAAATAGAAAATGTTGAGAAAAAAAACCCACTTACTGAGTTATTACTGCTGCAGGCTTAGTCTCAGGAATTAAGTCATCTATGTTTTGCCATTCTGGTGGTATGTCAATAAAATCTTGGTAAACTCTGATTTGGAGTATTGCACCTATGGGGATATGGTGCAAAAGCTGTAAAAATTCTCGAAGTGTATATCCTAACACATTTGAATGGCCGACTGAAATCAGAACATCACCTAAAAAAAAAGTTGAAAACCGCCCCCCAGCAATTTACTTAACAGTTTAAAGCATACCAAATCAATTTGAAACCTTACCATTACCTCTAGTTATTGTCCTATATCTTTGCTCCATTTCACAGCCCAACTTCTAGAAATAGCTGTACTCTTACTGCCTCCATTTCTCATATCATTTCTCAAGCCTTGGCAATCTGACTTCTGACTTTGTTATTCAACTGAAATTGCTTCCAAAGTTATTAATAATCTTTCAAATATATTTTTATTCTAACTTCAACACATAAAATGGACATGTCCATATATACCATAGTGCAGAAAAAGAGGACTGTTTATGAAACCAAATCCTCTTGTGTACAGCTTTTCTTTTTAAACATATAATAAATTCAACATGCAACTTTTAAAGCTTTCCTGTTTATTTGTAGTTCTTTCTGGCCTTCTGTTCTATTCTGTGTATTTAAAAAATGTTTCAATAACCTTTTCTCTCTCTCTCGGGGAGGTGTGGGGTGCCTAGGCCCTCTCTTCCTATCTCAGTCTACCACTGGCTGGGAAAAAAGCAAAATAAAAATAAAATCCTTTGAACAAATATGCAGTCATGCAAAATAAATTCCCACCTACAATGGCCACATTGGAAAATGTATTCTTACTCTGCTTGATACATCATCTCTCTCTCACTCTCTCAGGATGTGGGTACCATGTTTCATCACTGATCCTCTGGAATACTGGCTGGATTCTAATTCTTAAGCCTTTCAAAGTTGTTTGTCTTTACAATGTTGTAGTCACTGTTCAATCTGTATCAATTCATATGTCTTCCTAGATTTCTCTGAAAATGATCCTTTTTTCATGTCTTATGGCACAATGATAATATTTGAAGAATTAAGAGATGGCTTTTTTTCTTGATCCTCATTCTTCTAGACCTCTCTGCAGCATCTGACATTTCTGACCATCCTCTCCCAGATTTTCTTAACAATTTTTATAACTTTCTAGGTAGTCTAGTCCAGGGACAGGGAACCTGAGGCCTCAGGCCACATGTGGCCTTCTAGGTAGCCTTTTGACAGTCCAAGTTTTACAGAACAAATCCTTTTATTAAGGGGATTTATTAAGGGCTGTACTTGAGGACCTAGAAAGCCATATGTGACCTTGAAGTCGAAGGTTCCCCACCCCTGGACTACAGGAAGCATTTGTAACACCATCCTTATAGAAATCCATACCACTACCAGAGGTCATAGTTTTTATTTTTACTCTGTATACTAAGACAGGATTGTATATTTCAATGATGTCAAGTTCTTTCCTGAAAGAAAAGCCCATCCTTTTTTTTTTTTTTCAAGTACCAGTGATGGTTTGTGGCTGCAAATCATTTGATACCACAACCTCAGCAATGAAGAGATCCATGATAGACATAAATGAGCAGCAGTGTATAACAAACAAGGAATTGTATACACAAAAGATATCATCCAAGAGATGTATGACTGATAATTTAATGAGAGTCAAGGGTAAGATATGGAATAAGTGGGTACTGTTTTGTACTCCTGTGGAGTATTTATAGGAAGAAATGGACAAGAGTTGGCTGAAATGCCCACACACAGAGGAGATAACAGATCCACCAAACAATTAAATTAGTACACCTGTCATTTGAAAAGAGCAGCAGGCTGGCAAGAAACCTATACTCTCCAAGTCATTTTAATTGATTAAAACCTCTGTTAGAGTTAGCATTAAGGCTCGAGAGTACTTAACAAGTTCTAAAGGCAAGCAATATTTGACAGGAATTTCTTACAGTAAATTAACCCTGTTCAAAGCAATTAACCAAAACCAATGGCAATGAACCATAACTATAAAAAATTAAATGCTCAGAAATCAGAATCAAGTTTCTGGTGCTAAGAAATAATAGATTTTGAGGGCTCTGGATCAAAAGCTAGGCATATCATCTAGAAACTCAACATTTTTTGAGAACCAAAATATTGTGCCAGGTGCTGAGATCTTAGAATTATTTATTGGCACTGAGAATTAAAAGGATAAATTACAGGTATACTTCAAAACCCACAGGCTGAGAATAATGCAACTGGCTTATTATAAAAAGGTTTGGGCCCTTTCATTTTTTTCAAGAATAACTTTAAATTCTGTGAAACCACTGAAACTGTAACCCCCGAAACTGTACTGATGCTATCAATTGTTCTTGGTTTCCATTTTACATTAACAACTATACAGTCCCACACCATCCCATTTGGGCACTCAACGTTAACACCATGATTTTCAGATTGATTCAGGAGAACAAAGAGGACTGCAGACTATCCTAGATGACCAGTTAGATCCAACTCTTTCATTTGTACATACAGCCCAAAGCGCTGTTCCCTTTTCCTTTAATAAATCCATTTGGAGATTATCTTAAAAAAGTAAGCTGGGTTTATTTACACAATTATCAATTCTGTATTTTTGTTTAATTCATTCAGTCTTTAGAATACTGTATTTTTATGGAAAAACTTGCTTACAACAATATCTATCTCTAAGGAAATATCATATTATAAGTGAACTATGAAATTGGAGTTTTTTACCTCATTCACCAGGACCACTCACCATTTTATCTATGTTTCTAATCCTTTCACTCTTCGTAAATCACCACTTCTAGCATGCCACTATTCTGCTAAAGAATCTGAAATTGTTCCCCATTGCTTAGAAGACAAAAGCTTTGGCTCATAATGACAAGGAAGGCCTTTGATAACCTAATTCTAATCTCTCTCTATGAATAGTCTATTCTGATCAGGTCAGTCAGTCACCAACCTAACAGGGGCTATTTTTTTTTTTTTTTGCTTTTTTTTGTGTCATGGATCCCTTGGGCAGTCTCGTAAAGCCTGTCTCCTTCTCAGAAGAATGTTTTTAAATGCATAAAAGTACAAAGAATCACAAAGGGAACCAATAATGTCAAAATACAATTTTCAAAAAAAAATTTTTTAAATCACAGACCCCAAGTTAAGAACCTCTGCTTAGCCTCTTTGTTCATATTCTTCCTTCCTCCTGGAATGCTCTTCCCCTTCTCTTCCTATCCAATGCAGCCTTCAAAATTTGGCTCAAGCTCTACCTCCTTGGATAAAGCCTTTCCCTAAAACTCCAGCTACCTGATCTCCCCTCTCCCAGGCTCCAAACTCAGTTATCTCCAGCCCCTGCCTCTAACCTCTCTAGGCCTGGGCACAGGTTTTCTGTATCACATAATAAACTCCTCTTTGGGGCATATATTGCTGAGAGATAAGCAATTATTGGGGAGATCCAGGGTTTTCTCCTTAACCTGTTCCTTCATTCAAAGTCTAGTCTTTCAAGGAAACCTCTGACCTTGCCCAAAAATTTACCACACTTAGGCCATCTTATCTAGGTGGAATTGTTGCCCCACCCAACTAGAAACACCTTACAAAGAAAATCTAATCTGGGTGAAATCCAGCCAAATGTGTTCTAGTCAGACAGATCTGAGTGAACAGTCAAGTCTCCCAGTCCCTCATTAGAATAGGTCCATCTCTCATTATAATGTTCATTCTTTTCATTAATTGTTAACCAATCAGAGTTGATTGCCATCTGTCAGGAACACCCACTCTTCCAAGGGCATTATAAGCATCAAAAAGCCACCAGGATGCATCTTTGACATTTGAGAGTGCCACTGACCCCTTTTGTTAATTATCTGCTAGCAATAATTAATAAAATGATTAATCACTCAGAAACTATGTCTCTCAAACTTTTTTATATGTCACATTGCTAAGACTTGTTGATTCTACCTCTACAACATGTCTTAAATCCATTCTCTCTATTCAAACCAAAACCACCCCAGTTCAGGTCCTCTCCACTAGCCAAGAGCAACACACTCCTAACTTACCTCCCCAAATCCAACCTCTCTCTTCTTCAATATCTCTCCCACACAGTTGCTAAGTTGATACTCCTAAAACAGAGATCCAACTATGTCATTTTCCTACAGTTATCTTGAGTCCCTAATGACTCTAGAACACAAACTCCTGTTTGGCATTTGAAGTCTTTCACAATCCAATTTCAGCCAATTTTTCCTTTTTTTTTTTCCCAAACTAATTATACATTATTTTATATAAATATACCAGCTAACTGCTCCCTGTAAACACGCCATGTTTTGTCTCTGTGCCTTTGCACAAGCTGTAATCCATGACAAATGTTCTTCCTAATCTCAGCTTCTTGGAAATCCCTCCCTTCAAGGCCCAGTTTAGGTTCTATTTCCTATAAAAGGCCTTTCCTGATTTCATCCAGTTGTTAGTGTTTCCCTATCCCCCCCCACATATGTTTATCTTGTGTGTGTGTGTGTGCATATATATACATATGTGTGTGTGTGTGTGTGTGTATAATATTTACTTATCTACATACAAGCTATATCCTCCAGTGGAATGTAAGTAAGGTCCTCAAGGGCAGAGGCTATCTCTTTTTTGTCTTAGTACTCTCCAGCACTTAGCTTGTTGAATCTCTATGCAGATGATTCCCTTATCTAATTTCTTTCCTAATCTCTAATCCCTTCTCACCAACTGCCTTCTGGAAATATCAAAGACTGCCTCTGTCTTTAAAGAAATTAAAATCTTACTGAGGAGACATTTATATAGCTAAAGTAATTAGAAATAGTACAAAACAGTAGATTATCAAATGTTAAATTGCAGATAATTAAACAAAAATGTAGGCATCTCAAAATAAAATAACTTATCTTTCCCTCAAACCCATCCCTCTTCCCAACTTCATTTTTGTTGAGGGCAGTACCACCCTTCCAAGTCATCCAGACTCAAAACCTAAGTGTCATCCTCAACTTCTCACTATCTCTCACCACAGATGGAATCTATTGCCAAATCTTGGTGTTTCAACCTTCACAACATTACACCTATATGTCCACTTCTCACCACATGTAGCCACCACTCTAGTTCAGCCCCTTGTCACTTCTCACCTGGACTACTGCAATAGCTTTCTAACTGGTCTCCTTGCCTCAAGTCTCTCCCCATTCCAATCCAACCTTCACTTAAAGTGAAGGATGCCAAAGTGATTTTCCTAAAGCATATATTTGACCATGACACTGCCCCCTCCCACACACACTCAAGAAACTCTAGTGGCTCCTTATTTCCATTAGAATCAAATGCAAATCCCTCTGTTTAGCATTTAAAGCTCATAATACATATCATACATACTCTGACCCCTTCCTTTCAGTCCCCTCCATACATTCTATGACACTCTCCCCCCAGTTATAGCCAACACAGCACTCCCATCTCCCAGCCTTTGCATTGTCTCCCTTCCTGTCCCACTCCACTCTGCCTTTCAATGCTCTACTCCTTCCCTTCTGACTCTTTAAGCTATCCTTACTTCTTTCAAGCCTCAGCTCAATCTACAGGAGCTTTTCCCATTCCCCAGCTGCTACCACTTTCCCCTCTGAAATGACTTCCCATCTACTATGTATATACTTATTTACATGTTGTCTCCTTACTCTGTATAAAAAATACCATCTGCCACATAGTAAGCACTCAATGAATATCTTTGGACTGAACAACTAATCACTCATATCAACTATTAGTCAATACCATATATTATGCTACTTGATTATCTGCAATTTAACATTTGATAATTTACTGTTTTGTACTATTTCTAATTACTATAGCTATATAAATGTCTCCTCAATAAGATTTTAATTTCTTTAAAAGCAGAAGCAGTCTTACATTTCATTCCCAGCTTCCACAATAGGCACTCAATAAATACTTGCTGGATTTAATTCAAAATATTTCTTTCCTCTTCTAAAGAGAAAACCTTAACCCACCTAGAAAACCATCAATCCTGACCAATCAGGACAAAGAGCATTTAGCCAATTGAGAAAGTCTCACTTACCAAGATGGACATAACACACTACAGCTAGCATCTGAAATGGAATAAATGTAACTTCTAGGTGGATTGAAGAAGTTAATCTATAAATTAATCTACACAATCTATATAAATTAATCTATATTAATCTATAAGACCTAGGTATCCAATTGATCACCTGGCTTTAGTCTTCCATCCTTGGCAGCCGTTCCTTTCTCCACAAGACTGAGTATCTGGAGATAGGGCCCATGTTGGAAGATAATTAGTCCTAGTCCTTGGGTTCTCATTTTAAGAGAGGTCTTCATTGTTGTGCTCAAGGCGTGTTGTGAAGGGTCTTTTAGAAGTGGAAACACCTCTTTAAACAGAAAGAAAGACAGTAATGTCTATCTAACATCTATTTTCTATGGAAATAAGTTTCATAATAGACATTTTAAGGATTAAAGAATTATTTTTAAAAAGTTTAATCCATTAAGTACTTTCCCAGTGAAATGCTTTTGGCAGTAATTGTTTTCAGGTCATGGATAATTCTCTTTCCAGTATTTCACAAATCATCTTTTAAAGAAAAATGACATGATTTGCTCTTTTTAGACCCTTCTCTGATTCCATGTATCTTCTTATTTTGGAAGTAAAAAATTAAATAAGACTTTTTAGACTACTAAATAGTGCCCTTTCTCCAGCTTCCACCTCCCTAAAGTGCCACTTAGGGCATTGAAATGCTCAAATGTGATCTGGCAACCTATTCCTTGAAGCTGGAGAAAGAGTCTGTCCATGATTAATATATTTATACCCCTTCATCTACCTAATTTTACTTTCACCAACAAAGCTCTGGAAGGGACATGTCTGTAGAAGCAAACACTTAGCCTAACCAGCAATTCACTATGACTAACTATCTGTTTCCCAGAAATGTGTGAGAAAACAAGGGTCACCAAAGAGTGCAAAGGAAAGGAAGGGTAGTAGATGTCCTTCCACGAAGCTCAAGAAATCCAGAACTGTGAAAATCCATTATTTAAATTTTACCACAATTTAGTGGCCTCCTGCATAAGTGAAATAAAAAATTATTGATTGAGAATAATAATACATCTTAAATTATATATTGCTCTAGACTCTGTGGCATAGTGTATAAAACATTGGACTCGGTGTCAGGAAGACAGCATTTTAAACTTAGCTGTGTGACCCTAGCCTAGACAAGGACTTAACCTCTCTGAACCTCACTTATCTATAAAACTGGGTAAGAACAGCACCTATTTAACAATGTTGTCATATTAAATAATGTCATTAAACCTATAAATAGTCTGCTATTATTAGTTTTTCCCAAAATTCCTGGCCAAAAGAACTGAGAGGACAGATGCTTTTTTTTCCAAGGCCAATATATTATTCCTATTTTACAGAAACTGAGATATGGAGGGTACCACTGAGATCTTAAATCTACCCACTTCTAGTCAGGTCCCCTTTAATGCTAATGCCTTTCCCTATGAGACTACTTCCAATTTACCCAGTATATATTTTGTAGGTAGTTATTTGCATGTTGTCTCCCCCATTCGAAGATGAGCTCCTTGAGGGCAAGAACTGTTTCGACTTCTTTGTGGCCCTGCTCTTAGTACAGTGCCAGGCACACAGTAACTGCTTAACAAATGTTTATTGAAACAACCTTCTCGATTTTCACAGAAGGAGCACTGGAAGCGACTCCTCCAAGGCCACAAAGCCGGTTCATGGCAGAGGGCTCAAGTTCTCTGAAGTGAAGACACTTGCCAAGGTTGCCTAGGCAGGAAGCTCCCTGAGGGTGGAGGCTGCGACATTTCTGTCCTGACATCCCTTGGTCCCCATGCAGGACTAACATCCCCTCCCCCCACCAGCTTCAGAGGCGGCCCAGTGTGGCGGCCACAGGGCCTGGGTTCAAACGCTGCCTCGGACACGCCTCAGCCAGGTGCCCCGGGAACTCGAGGGCTCGCCGGCGGGGGTCCTGCGCTCTCATCACCTGCCTTACCATCAAAAGGAACGTTGTCTTCCTCCAAGGCTTTGCGCCGGAGGTCCACAGCCCCGAAAACGGGGTCCATGGAGAGAGGCGGGGGAGGGAAGGGGCAAGGTCGGGGCGAGATGTCCCCACTTCCCCCGAAGAGACGAAGCGTCGCCTCCAACTCCCGCTAACGGTTTCGAACGCCACAGGAGGCAGCTCGAGGCGGCAACCACGGAGCATGCTCCGTGAGCGCGGGGCTAAGGCGACGCGTGCGCTCCAGGATAGGCCGCCAGGGGGTGCTACGCAGCCGCACTGGCGTCCTCTAAACCCTGGCGAGGCTAGAGGGGAGGAGCAGAGAGTGGGAGCTTGCTCAGGGACTTCCTCGAGGAGTGGGAAGGAAGCTTGGGAAGGAAGAGCAACAGAAGGGTGTTAAGGGGATAAGAGGAGAAAGGGAAGTAGGTAAGATGCCGTGGCCTGAACACTTAAGTGTGCTTTGCCCTTCAGTTGTGAGCACCCTTTGGGCAAGGACCATGTTTTTGCCTTTCCACACTGTATGCCCAGGGCTTAGCACAGTGCCTTTACACGTGGTAAACACTTAGTAAATGCTTGTTGTTTTAGGAGGGAAGATGATATGAAGGATTTTGTTGGGAAAATGATAATGATGCAAAAATAAATGGATTTCAATTATTAAAAGAAAAATTCTGACTAGACATAAAGAACTCCTCCCTGCACTGCAGCAGTCTTCTGGGGAAAACTGTGGACTTCGTGAGGAGATCCCATTTGCTCAAGGAAGGTTTATTGATGGTATAGTCCTGCCAAAAGATGGCTACTGAATTCCCCCGATGAATAGGAATACTTCAATAAAGGATCCCTTGAGAAACTGAGCAGGTTTTTAATCACCAAAAGCCATTTTAGTGAGCTCACCACTTTACAAAAGTTAACTTCAAAACGATTCCTCAAGTAATGATGTGTTTCTTTAAAGACAAGAAGAATTACAGTATAAATAAAGTAAAGGATGAAATACTTTTAGGACTAGCACCTAAAACTTCCCTTTTCCACTGAAAGCTGTTTAACTAATCTAAAAACGAAGAAGGCAAACACTACTTCAACAAAGAAAAGTTTTATTGGAATAAGGTTAAACTTTTGCCCCAAATCCTAGAAACAGAAGTCTTAGATTTGTATCATCAGCACACAAGAAACAAAATGGTTCTTCTCAGACTAGGCAGATACAAAAAGTAAACCAAGAAGAATGAAGAAAAGGAAATGTCATTTTTTAAATGTTAATAATCAGTAATCAATGTTAATAACCAAAAATCAACCAGCTTAAGTATAGAAGAATTCCTTAATGATACCACCCTCATCTCCCATGTGTTTTTTTTGTTTGTAATATTGAAATTTTTAAATCCCACCTAGGTTTTCATTGAACTACCTACTAAATTTCATTAAACTACCGATTAAACTATTAAATGTTCATTAAAAATTATCTTTCTACCTATACTATTTAAAATTTTAATCTCTTGGTTTGATTACATCTTGAAATCTCTTTAAATCAATCCATATGTTAATACAATATGATGTCTTCAGTCAACTCTGAGCTCCCAAAGATGTTATTTCATTTTCTTTTCTATGTAACACAATAAACATAGCTTGGAAGGATGAATTTCCTGTGTGTCTGTAGCATTAAGAAGACAAACGGAACAAACACAAAGTTGCAGGATATTAACAAACAAGAACCCATCTATAGATAACGGAAGAATTCATGACCAAACAAGAGATAGAGAGGTTCAAAGAAGGTAAAATGGATAATTTTGATTATATAAAATTTAAAAGTTTTTGCACAAACAAAAACTGGAGCTAAAATTGGTAGAAATGCAGGATGCTGGAGGAAAAATATTTGGAGCAAATTTCTGTAATAAAGATCTCATTTCTGTGATATATGAGGACCTGAGTCAAATTTACAGGAAAAAGAGCCATTCCCCAGTAGTAAATGGTCAAAGATATTAATAGACAATTTTCCGAGAAAATAATCCAAATTATCAATGGTCATATTTTAAAAGTGCTTTAAGTCACTAATAATTAGAGAAATTAAAATTTAAACAACTCTGAGGTTTCACCTTGCACCTGGTCAGGTTAGCTAACATGACAAAAAGGAAAATGACAAATGCTGGAGCAACTGAAGAAAAAGGGGCCCACTGGTGTACTGCTATTGGAACTATGAACTAGTTCAACCATTCTGGAAAGCAATTTGGAACTCTGCCTGAAAAGCTATTAAAATTATTAAATTGTGCATATCCTTTACACGATACTACTACTAAATCTATACTCCAAAGAGATCAAAGAAAGAGGGAAAAGACCCATATGTACAACAGTTTTTATAGCAGCTCTTTTTGTGGTGGCAAAGAATTGAAAATTGAGGGGATGGTCATCGATTGGGAAACAAGTCTATGAATGGGATAGAGTACTTCTGTGCTATACGAAATGAAGAAGGATAATTTTAAAAAAACCTGGAAAGATTTCTATGAACTTATCCAAAGTGAAATGAGCAGAACCAGAACAATTTCTGTGATGATAGCAATATTTAAATAATTGAAATAAATATTTAAATAAATATTTTAAATAATCAATTTTGAAAGACTTAGTAACTCTGATCATAATGAAACACACTATCCACCTCCACACAGACAAGCGATAGACTCAAACTGAGGCATATTTTTTCTTTCTTTTTTTTTTAAAACAGAGCTAATGTGGGAATTTGTTTTGTAAGACTATACATATTTGCAATAGTTTTTTTTTTCTTTCTCAATGGATGGGGTACAGGATAGAAAATTAGGAACTGAAAATAAAATAAATTTGAATTTTTTACAAAAAAGATAGTAATTGTTGTTAAATCATTTCTCCATTATGCCCACCCTTCATGACCCCATTTGGGGTTTTCCTGGCAAAGATACAAAAGTGGTTTGCTATTTCCTTCTCCAGCTCATTTTACAAATGAGGAAACTGAGGCAAACAGGATTAAGTGAAGTGCCCAGGATCACACAGCTAGTAAGTGTCTGAAGCCAGATTTGAATTCAGGAAGCTAAATCTTTCTGACTCCAGGTCCAGCCCTCTATCCACTTCAACACCCATAACTTAGTTTATTAGACAGTTACCTGAGGCACTGAGCCCTTAGTCACACTGCTAATATGTGTCATAATCAGGACTTGTAGCCAAGTTTTTTTATCTACTACACTACAACACCACCACCCCCTTTTATTATTTTTATTATCGCTTTAAAAGTCAGGCAAGAGGCAGCTAGGTGGTGCAGTGGATAGAACACTGGCCCTGAAGTCAGGAGGACCCGAGTTGAAATCTGGTCTCAGACCAAACACTTGCCACTTACTAGCTGTGTGACCCTGGGCAAGTCACTCAACCCCAACTGCCTTAAAAAAAAAAAAAGAAAGAAAAAAAAAGTCAGGCAAAAAATATCCTTCCTTTTTAGATACTTCACCCTGCTTTCTCCAATATAATCAAGAGATGGACTCTGTTGGCTGTTTGCTACTGAGACTCAGAGCACCGCTGGCTCTCCTGAATTTGCCAGCTTACACGGACATTCCCATCCAAAATACTGTTGCCTAAAATCAGGAATAAACACAAAAGAAACAGAGGTACCATGTGCTCATGGACATGGACATACGGTGGTAGAGAGAGGGAGAATAGACAGCTGCTCCTCCCCCACTGAGTAGCTCAACAAAGAAAGAAACATAGAAATGTCCTAACCTTTTGTATGCAAACTCAGTTCTCTCTTAGAAACTCCAGTCATCAGTTTTCGTGGCTCCACAGCCAATTAGAAGACTTTGCATCATCACATAGTACCAAGCTGTCAGTCATGCATAGCTGGAAAAAAATCTACCAAATTTCCACTTGTTGGATTAGAACCAGATAGAGAATATCTGCATGTGTTCTGTATAACTGGCCAGGAAAGGCAAATCCAAGCATGCTCCGTTCCCGTAATATCTAAACCTCATAGGGTTGTTATGAGGACCAAAAAAGATAATACAAAGGTGTCCAAAAAGTCTTAATGTAGTTTGTTTAAAACGATATTAAGACTTTTGGGACACTTGTATATGTTAAATGCTTAATAAATCTTAAAGAAATATATGAATGTTAGCTATGATTATTATTCCCTGTAACTTCCACCAAAGTAATTTCACAATTAAAGCATCAGAGACATGCTGTGTGAAAAGAAGGAACAGAACAATTTGTTTTTGTTTTTTGTTTTTTTAGGCAACTGGGGGTTAAGTGACTTGCCCAGGATCACACAGCTAGTAAGTGGCAAGTGTTTGGTCTGAGGGCACATTTGAACTCAGGTCCTCCTGACTTCAGGGCCAGTGCTGTATCCACTGCGCCACCTAGCTGCCCCTTGAACAATTTGTTAAGCACTGACTGTGTGCTACTATACTAAACAAATTACAAATTCTATTTCATTTGATTATCAGGACAACCCTGTGAGGTAAGTACTATTATTATTCCCATTTTTCTTTTTAACCAATTGAAGAGACTGAAATAGGCAGAGGTTAAGTGAATTGCCAAGGGTCACCCAGCTAAGAAAGTATCTGAGGTCAGATTTGACAGGTCTTCTTGACTGCAAGCCCAGCACTCTATCCACTGTGCCACCTACCTGCCTCCCATAGCACCTTTTAAAGTCAAATTCAGTTGTGAGGGTAGCAAAAAGAAATTGGTGAATAGCTGAACAAATTGTGGTGTGTAAAAGTAATGGAATATCACTGTACCGTAAGAAATGACAAAGCGGATGGTTTCATAGAAACCTAGGAAGGTTTGTATACCTGATACAAAAAGAATTGAGAAGAACATATTTATGTAATAGCAACATGGTCAAGAAAAGAATTAAAGATTTAAGAACCTGATCAATGCGATGACAAAGCACAATTCTAGAAGATAAATAATGAAACAAACATGCTTGCCACCTCCCAACAAAAAGATGATGAACTCAAGGTGCAGAAAGAGAATTTTGTGAACGTAGCCAATGAGGGGATTTGTTTTGCTTGAATGTGCATATTTGATACTTGGAACATGGGTTGTTGGGGGCTTTTTGTTGTTGTTTTTTGGGGAGAAAAGAGCTAGCAGTAAAAATTAAGAGAAAAGAGAATCTAAGAAATTTTAAAATGCACAGAAGAGAACAGAAGGAAGTAAAAAATGGAGGCTGAGATCAGTTTTGAAAATAACATGTTGAATTTATTTTATACTTAAAAAGAAACACAAACTCTGTAATCCATTCTCAGTTACATGTGTGATCCTCTTTTTCTGTTCTACTTTGTATATGAAAATTCTCATCTTATTTGGTTTTTGTCAAATTCAGGATAAAAAAATATATGGAGGGAGTGGTATGAGGGCAGCTTTAACAACTCTCCTCCCACAAAGAGTCTGAGCCTCTTATGCATGGTAAAAATTATACAAAATTCTTTAAGAAATGCAACCACATAAATGTGAGGGACTGTCTGATGTTGGCAGCTACCAGGTTGGGTGCTGTGGCAAGGGTAGGGTAAGATCTGGGTATTTTGGAAGTCGAGGCAGGGACTGTGGTAGGCAGAGTCGTGTGTACTGGGATGGGCTGGATACGGAGAAGCCATGAGGCAATTGGGCAGTGCTATGAGATAAGCTGGGTGCAAGGAAGTAGCAGAGCCTGAGCTCCTGAGGCAAGGGGCGGTGCCACGTGGGAGTGGGATGGCAGAGGACTGAGTTCCCTCTGCTTAGTCCCCTCCCTATATGCAACGTCATCCCCAGATGCCTCTTGTGACCTTCCTGACCTCCGGGTCCCTTTGTGCAGCACTGACCCAGTCCCCTCCTGAGTCTGACTTCCTAGGTCACGTACTCTTGTCTATGCGTCAATCCCAGATGCCTCCTTCCTGTATCCAATCCTAGCCTCCTACGTCACTCCCTCCCCCTTGGTGTGCTAAACTCAGACAGCCCCTTCCGGTATCTGACCCTACAATCATTGGCTAGTAGCGGGCTGGGGAGGAGGGGCTAAGTAGGTACTTAGGAACAAGCGTGGTCAGAACACACGTGCGCTCTCCCCTGGCTCCTGCCCTGTTGCTCTGGTCTTGCTGTTTGGGCTTGCTATGATGGTTTGCTGTGTTGGCCTCTGAATAAAGCTCTGGTGTTGGTGCCTCCCGATGGCTTGTCTCTGTGTGGTGATCCGGCTGAGGACCGAAGACCCAGGAGTGGGTAAGACTCTGGCAGTGCACTTCTTTTAAGAGAAGTGGGTACTGGCGCACGACTGGCAGAGGGCCGGCGTGCGGCCCGTATACATAAATATCTCTGTCCAGTGACCTTCAGATTATTAATATCAAGTTAAGCAAAAAACAAAGAGATATCTCCTTGCTGGTGACATGGAGAATGTCTTGGTATAGATGACAAGATTTATCAGATACTCCTGTTTGCTAATGTATTGTGTTGACTCCATTAAGACCCAGAATATTATAGGATCTCTTGAATTAGGTCCATGGTTACTCAAAAGTGATTGACCTAACAATTCAAAAAGCAAAAACTAAATGAACGAAAAATGGCCACCACTCCATTAACATCCGCAAACATACTTAAGCCGTATTTTCTACTAGGAAGCTTACTGTGATAAAAAGCACTGTACTTAATTTTTAGAGAGAATAAAGAAGCAGTATGGTATGGCAGAGAGAGCAGTAGATTTGGAATCAGACTACTCTATGAGCACCACAGAATCAAAGCTTTGAATTGTTGTGCTGGAGAAGACATTTTAAGGTCCCTTGCACAGCAAGGAGATCAAATTAGTCAATACTTAAAGAAATTAATTCAAACTGTTCATTGGAAGAACAAATACTAAAGGTGAAACTTAAATACTTTGGCCACATAATCGTTAGACAGGACTCACTGGAAAAAACCCTGATGTTGGGAAAGATTGAAGGCAAAAGGAGAAAGTGATGACAGAGAATGAGATAGTGTAATGGAAGCAATGTACATGAACTTGGACAGGCTTTGGGAGATAGTGGAGGACAGAATGATTTGGTGTGCAATATATTATCCATGGGGTTACAAAGAGTTAGACATGATTGAATGACTGAATAACACCAGCCCATGGATATGGCAATATCATCTCAGCCCTCTGGGCCTCAATTCCCTATTTATGTAGCCACATAGGAGTTTAGCTGAGTACTTTGTTGTAGGGTGTCTGATTACCTGAATAAAACATACCAACCTTCTTCTATCGGCTCTTTTCCTTGTTCAGTTTCTCTCCAAGTCCACAAAGAAGTCTAAGGTATAGGTATTTAAGAAAGTCTCTCTCTAGTCAGATCATTCCCACATTGGCCTGAGCTGAGAAACATTTTTCCCTTTTCGGTTTCACTCTTTCAATCTCAAACTGGGTTTACTGGCTTGAACTAAAATGACTATAAATGGCTTTATACTTTAACAGTATTTTCTTTTTTTTTCTTTGGCTAGGCAGGCAGTGGGATTAAGTGACTTGCCCATGGTCACACAACTAGTAAGCATTATGTGTCTGAGGCCAGATTTGAACTCAGGTCCTCCTGAATCCAAGGCCAGTGCTCTATCCACTGTGCCACCTAGCTGCCCCAACAGTATTTTCAAATAACATAAGGTTATATACAACATAAAATAAAGCACCTCTCTACTCTCCCTCCCTGACAGGTTAGTGTTTTGGAGATTTTCCTCTCAGGGAAACCTTGTGTCCTAGACTGGTGCTCTCCCCAACAAATGAGTTTACCTTTAAAAAGTCATTTGGGAGTATTTTTCATGCTACTTATTTCTGGTACTTTTTGTGGCCTTGGGTAACAAAATTACAAAATTACTTTAGTGGCAGCAATAAGTAGTTGGAGGGAATGATGAATTTTGAGAAGGGGTCAGTCATTGAATTTCTTACCACCATTGCCAGGTCACACTATCAACAACTTTCTCCAATTCTCATACCTCTCCAAAATAGGAATAATATGTAAGGGATAAAGCAATTTCATTGTCTCCATCATCTAGGACACCAAGAACCCAAACAAGCTGAAAACTCAATGAACTAACAACAGAGTAAGTTAATCCCTACCTACCTGCTCACTCAGCATCCCCTCCCCCACCACCCACCACACTCCTCCAAGCAGGCTACACAAGCTGACCCACATGCTTCCAATAGGTGGCTCCATGCCACCTTCCCTCCTAGCAAGGAGGCCTCCTTGATGGTCCAGTGCCCATTGAGATTGAATTGGCAGACTTTTGCTCAGGCTGTGATAGTGCTGCAGTGCTCTATGGAACAACAGAGCTCAGTCAGATAAGGAGAACAGAGGAACAGGGGCAAGACACATACATGTGTGGCACTCCACTAAGCTTGAGGGAAAGTACTCAGCATCCTGATTCCCTCAGAAGTCACCTGAAGCAAAAACTGAGGTCAGTGAACCATTAATTGTGCAGGATGGGAGGAGGTCAAGACACTTGAGATCCAGTCTCCAGTGAAACTGTCATCAAAGAATGTATGGCCTGCACAGCAGAAATAATTAGCAGAACAGAACTTGTATCCATGGTGGCAAGTCTCAACAAATAAAGAAAAGAGAGAATAGCTGATTAGAAATGCAAATATAGAGAAGTGAAGGATACTCTAGGGGGAAAAAAAGCAATAACATTAAAAGTAAGAAAATCAAACTGATATGGTCTCCATTTTTGTGATTGATTCTATTCTGTTGTCACCCCACTTTTTGTATACTGCCTAAGTTATATTTCTTTGTCTCTGAGTTAAGTTCATAAGGTCAGCTTTCCTCTCTGAGTTAATTAAGTTTGGAAGTTCAATGTTCCTGCAAATCACTGTTCTATTCTTGTGTCAAGGAAATCTGTTATCCTTGAAGGATACAAGTGGATGCCAGGTAGTCTGATCTGTTATCTCTGTAACACTGACCAGCCTTCAGGAAAGTCTAGTCTGTTATCAATGTGATGCTAACTAGCCATGCAGTTGAATACCACCAATGAGCTTTCCACAGTGACAAGATGGAAGGAGGGGTTGTAGCTAGCCCTGCATTGCAAATTTCCATCCAATCATGTTATTTTCCCATCTATGTTGTTGCCTTGTAGCTTTTTTATGTGCTTCCTTTTGTCTGTAAAAATGATCTGTCTGCCCTCATTGGAGATATTTTGACCTGCTATTTTATTGGTAATTGGTACCCTTTTATTGGTAATTGCTAGCCTTACCAATAAAATGAACATGCTCAGAACTTTGTGCCTTAGTTTATCTTAATTTCAATTGTAACAAGAACATGATCTCCGTACAAGCAAAACATTGATCTCAAAGACAAGATACACAGAGACAACTTGAGGATTATAGGACTCCTAGAAGAATTCCAATAAGTCAAAAACCCAAACACCACAATGCAAAAAATAAAACCAGAAAGCTGCCCAGAACACAGAACACAGAACAGATCTGAACACTGAAAATAAAATGCTATTTGAAAGAATCCATAGATTACCTCCAGAAAAATCCTAATGCTGCAAACTCAAAGTCACATAGTAGTTAAATTTAACAGACAAAAAAATTCTGCAAGCAACCAAGAGAAAGACCATCAAATATAAAGTAAAAGAAATTCAAATAACACTAGATTATTCTATACTTAGCAGAAACTATAGGAGGGAATGGAATAACATGTGCCAAAAAGCAAAAGAACTCTAGATGCAGCCCAAGGGAACCTACCCCACAAATATGAGTCTAATCATAAATGAAAAAATATGGATATTTAATAAAAAAGTTGTTCAAAATTTTCCTAGAAAGAAAACCAGACATAAAGAGATTATTTGCTTCTCAAATACAGCAGATAACAGAAATATGAGGATGCCAAATGAATACAGCAACTAAGGACAAAAGTTACAGAAACCATTAAAAGATTTCTTTTTAAATATACTTGAGGAGACAAAAATGCAGAAGTCAAATAGAAATGATGGTGGAGAAACAGTCCTGTAACAACATGGACTAAACCTCACAACATTTTTTCTACATGTGAATCAATATTTCTTGTGAAACTAAATTATAGAATAAGAGGGCACATAAAAAGGAGGAAGAAGATATAAGGGGAATATGTGATGTAATCATGTCAAAGTGTAACAATGAAGGAAAAGTAAACTCCAGCTACTTTTTTTACTGTTACTCGGAAAAAGAGAGCCTACAGGAGAATGAAGAAAGGGAGAAAGAAAGGGGGAAACCCTTGTTTCAGTTGTGGGAGAGGTACCACTGGTATATGCTCATATAAAAGAAGAGAGATATTCTATAAAGGGTCTTGGAGATCTTAGAATGGGTATTATATTCTTGGATTTGGTGCTTAGAGAGATCACTCATCCATCCTGCCTCAGGAGAAAAGAAATCAGGCAACAGGCAACCCAGGGCATGGACCTAGGAAAGAGATTTTGAGACAAATTGGGGGGGGGGATGACCAAAGGGAGGACAAAGGTCAGTAATGAACTGTACAATCAGGAACAATGTAGGAAGATTCATACAATGAAGCAATTTTCTCTCACCTTCAGGAACTAGTAATTCTAAGGGTAAGGTACAACAGAAAAAAAGGGTGGGGGAGACAGCAAAATCTATAAGGCAATAACTGAAACCATTCAGAAGAGGGAATCCAAAGTAGATACCTCAAAAGTAGATACCTTCATTCCATGCAGAGAATAAAGAAGGACTAAATAAATATAAGGGCCACAAATCACAAAATAAAGTCTAGAATAGATAGAAAGGAAAGAAAATGAAGAATGAGTAAAAGAAATCCTTTCCAGAAAAAAGGTACAGAAAATGAAATCTTAAAAACTAATGAACAAAACAAATTGAAGGGGAAGAAAGAAAGGGAGATTCTACTTTATTATTTTACTGGGGGGGGGGGGGGAAGAAGCCAAGGATTAAGTAACTAGATAAAAGCAAGAAAGAAAAAAAGGAAATAATAAGCCAGATTCTAAAACTAGTGAAAAGGATCACAAATGGAGATAAGGTAGGAAGAGAGGGGTTGAAGGTAAAGAAAAAAGAGCCAGTGGGAATAGGGTTGCCTTAAAATAGATTAAGCTAAAATAACTGGAGACAAAGCATCGTGTTAACAGAAGAAGGGGGATGAGGGAATCCCAATTTGGGGAAAAAAAATAAAGACATATAGAGGAAAATAAAAACCTGACTCTCACAACTTTAAATGTGAGTGAATTAAAAAATCCAATAAAACAAAAAAGAGTGACAGATTGGATTTAAAAAAAAACCTCACAATATGTTGCTTACAAGAAACATTTTAAAAACAAAGACATAACACAGAATAAAAATGAAGGTCTAGGGGGAAAAAATTTACTATGCATCAAGTGAATCCAAAACAACAGGAGTTACAATCATTCTATCAAACAAAGAATAAACAAACATTTAAAACATAAAAAGAAAAAACCAAGGAAACAATTTTATGCTAAAAGGTACCATAGACAACCACCACTGTAAACATTAAACTTAACATGCTCCAAGTGCCTTAGCATTTAAAGTCATAAAGGGAATATAAACTAAGCTACAATAATACATAGACAGTAGCACAAAAGTGATAGGAGATTTCAATGTCCATCTCAGTTTTGGATAAGTCTAACAGAAAGATGAACAAAGGGAAAATATACAAACAAATTGTTAATAATATTAGAGCTAAAAGATTTAGGATATCTTCTAAATGAGACTATCTCAACACCACACAGAACTTTAAAAATATTAACCATGTATTAGGGCACAGAGATATTGCAAACAAATGTAAAAAGACAGAAATAGTAAATACATCCTTTACAGATATAGCAACATAAAAATAGCAGTTGGTTAAGGGATCACAAATGAAAGACACACACCCAAATAGAGACTTATTGAAATCCTAAATAAGGGAGTCAAAGAACAAATCATTGAAACAATTAATAATTATGTGAAAGAAAATGGTAAAATGATGAAACAACATACCAAAATTGTTAGGATGAAGCTAAAGCAGTCCTGGGGGTGTGAATCATATAATTATGTTGTTGTTCAGTTGTGTCTGACTCTTCATGACCCTCTGGATCATACTGTTCATGGGGTTTTCTTGGCAAAGATACTGGAGTGGTTTGTCATTTCCTTCTCCAGTGGATTAAGGCAAACAGATATTAAGTGACTTGCCCAGGGTCACACAGCTAGTTATTGTCTGAGGCCAGCTTTGAGCTCAGGTCTTTCTAACTCCAGGCTCAGCATGCTACCCATTGAGCTATCAAACATACGTTAAAAGAGATGATTAATAAAACTAAATGTGCATTTTTTAAAATTAGAAATCAAATGATCCAGTTTGTAAAAGAATGGGAAGTAAAATGGTTGGACAAGTAAAGTTAAGTGTCCTCCATGGTAGATTAGCGAGAACAGTTGTGGGCTGCAGCTCAATCTTTTGGCCAACCATGGTCTGCTCTCTGCTCCAGTCACTGGGATTCACTCAGATCTCTCTGCCTCCATGAACTTTCTACTATATCATTAGGTCTCAGTTCCTATTGATTTACCTGCTTTTTGACACAAGAGTAACATCTAGTTTCCCAAAGCCTTGCTAGCTAGACGGGAGAAATGTAGGAGACTACTGCAGTTCACACTCCTTCTCTTGATTTTGTGGATTTTCAGCTTCTTGGTCACATGGCTTCTTGATGGAAGAAAGTTCCCCAAGGCAAAAAGTCCCAGATAATTAAGGCACTCTGTGTAATGCCAGTGCCAATAAGATTCCCGTCACCAGGTCTGTATGGCAATGTTGTTGAGGGGTGGGGAGAAGGATAGAGGATCTCTAAAGATCTTATGGTGTATTAAATCCTAAAAGAGGAGTTAGGTAGTATCTATTTTTATTTTCCCTGAAAGTCCATCCTTTTCTTGGTCCACAGATCCACAATAATTATCACCATAAAGCCCACCCCCCCCATTTATGGTTTGTGATTTCAAGTATTGTACCTTTTGGGGTGCCTTCTCTTTTCTCCTAAGTACCCTAGAGCATTTTTCCTCTTCTTGCCATAAGAAGTCTCTTGGTTCATCTCCTCTCTGCATAAAAAAGAGCTAGGCTTATTACCATCAACCATGACTAAAGCTTGACTAAAGGGATCCATTAGACCTTAATCATAAAATCATAAAAGTTTAGAGCTGAAAGTGGCCTTAAAAATTATCTTATCTACCCTC